GAGATCTGTTCATTAGTTGGGGAATTTTCCCAGCTCATTAGCAAAGGAATGTGATACACAAGTAAAGACAAATTTCTAATATCTCAGAGGCAGAATAGCAGGTTTAGGAACATAATGTGTAAAGGTAACCAAGAGGTGATCACACCATAACACAAAAACTCTCACGAGAAAATCAGAATAATGTCTATTTTTCTTTATATCTGTTTCCTTAGTGCCATTAGCCTGTGAAAAACTGTGGACCTGAGTTCTAGGTTCGAAGGAAACAAGAACAGAAGTCACCAATCCAGTCCATGTACATTTTTAATAAACCAACCTTTGCCCAAGAAACCAACTTATCCCGTAAAAGTGTGAAACTTATCCCATTAAAGCCTGTGAAATTCTTACTCCAATGGTGATGGAAGCCACGGGAAAGAAACTGTGATTGAGAAATAACATAAAATTTGAGAGTTGTACAGAATCTTAGAAATTTCTAACATACAGCCTCCAAAGACCTAGACCTCCCCGAGAGATGACCACATATCACATTTCTGGATGTTTTTAATTATAAGAAAAATCCTAGCTAATAAAGTCATCTATCTTAGGGTTCAAGAAAATACCTTGGCACAGACTACAAACATAGGGGACTGTATTTTGGAATGCCGGTTTCTATCTAATTGATAAAAGGATTGTTTAGATGAAAATAATGAACACTGGGATTAGATGATGCTATTTCCCCAAGCGGAATAAAACAGTCAGTTTTCGGAGTGGCAAATCAAATGGATGCCTGCGCCTGGAGCTTGCTGCTTTCCCTGTGGCCCGGGAGTGATATAGACAGGAGATACTGTCCGTTCTTTCTCCTAAGAGTCCTGGGAATCAGCTGCTTCCTAAACTTGGCAGCTGAGCTGGTATCCTACAATCCCCCCGACCTTTTTTTCGGAGAGGAGGCCGGGCATAGATTTTCTGGTCACAAAGCCCTGTTGTTTCCCAAGGGAGTTCTCTGGCTACCTTGTTAAACTCCTCACCTGGACATCAGGACAATGTCCTGATTAGAAAATCTGTGTATCCCTTTCGGGGAACCAGTGTTTATGGAATTGGTTTTTTTTTTTTTTTTTTAATTTCTCCAAGGCAGAGAACACTTTTTTTTTTTTCCTATATTTTTTAAGAAATTAGGGTCTCACTTTGTCACCCAGGCCTGTCTTGAACTCCTAGCCTCAAGCGATACTTCCGAGCTAGCTTCCTGAATAGCTGGGGTCACAGGTACAAGCGACCACACCCAGCACTAAAGTGCACTTTTAAATAAAAGAAAACCTTCCAGGGCCAGGATGTCCTTGGGACTTTGAAAGCCTCCTGAATTCCTCCCGGGTGGGCTGAGAAGACCCCAACTAAGCGCACTGCAGAGGCTGTTGCCAGCTCACCCCGAGGCTCTGGCAGGCTTCACTCCCATGAGCTCCCTTTTTGGTGGCAGCAAAGAAACACATCAAGTGAGGGAAATCAGGCTGATAACTTCTTTACAACAAGGTTTTATTGATTCTTTTCTTTTATTCCCCCCCCCCAAAAAACATTAAAGTTTTTCATCTTTCTTTTATTTTTAATGGTTTTCCTTTTGGATCCAAACGAGCATCTATATTACAGGATAGCCGCCTGGTCAACATGCAGCGCTGAACTGTGGCTTCAGGAGAGAGGCACCGATACTCGGGGTGGGCCAGCATCAGCTGCCATTCAAACACCGTGACTGCAGGGGTGTCAGGCTGGCACGCCACGGTGGATGCTGCCCCTAAGGAGCTGTCTTGTGGGGCATGACTTGCACGTTTTAGACTGCAGGTAGCAGCATTTTAACAGCCTGAGGCAGAGCACCCAATTTCCCTCCTGATCTCATCTTACATGCTCATCCTCTAGGAGCAAAACACTAAAGAGGGAATGGCCTGATCATGGGCCCCGAAGGACAGAGGGTGTGGACCCTATAGTCCACCTCCTTGCAATGTTGTTATTTGAGGCTAGAACCGGTGCGCCCTGCAGAGTCTGAAATCTGTTCCTGACGAAGCTCATCCCCGTCCCACTCACTGGCCCTTCTCCCCTCCCATGGTGTTCTCACCACTAGGAAGTTAATATAATCTCTCCATTATTGGTGCTACTATGTTGAACAGTTACTGAAGTCATAAAGATTGTCTTCAAGCCACGTTAAAGCAAGAACCTCTTTCTTTCCATCTCCCAGGTCTGGAAAGGGAATTTTGGGAACCTGTCAATCCTCTGAGGCCTTGAAATCCACTACTCTAGGTGAGTTTAACAGAAAGAAGTTCTCTGAATCCAATCTTGTGCTGAGAAGTTTACCCATAACCTAAGTGAAAAAGAGGGTCCAAGTTAACACATCTCAAAGCCTGTCCTCTTCCGGGACCTGCTGATTATTTTCTACGCCACTTTGCCTTTGTTCCGCAGCTTGTCTTCCTACTCCCCACTCCATTGTCCCAGCTACGAAATGCCAAACACATCTGGTGCATTGGGCTTTTCTCCTCCGTTTGTTTTTCTGGCTGAATTCAAATCTTGGACTCAGTTTGAGTGGCGTTGGACTGCCCTCTAATATCACCAAGAGGCAGGTTTCTCTGCAACTACAGCACTTAGGGTGACTTTGTATAAATTTTGACTTGTTCACAAGACACCAGGATAGAAAAACACGGACTGAAGTTGAGCCTGCAGGCTAAGTATAGATCCCAATTGGTTGCCATTAAAACTTAATACCTATGTTTTTATTAACTCCACTGGGATCTGCTTAATATTATACAACTCCATATCAAATGTAACTAAGACAACTACTGTCTACCTTAACTGGCAGTTAGATTATATCGTTTAGCCCTCATTTCATATTACCTTTATTTTTAAAAATTGATTAATGGCACTTGAGAATTTTGGCGTGTGTTTTTCCTGCTCATCCCTTATAAAAATGTTTAACAGATTTGCTTTAAAGTGGTAGTTCTGCTGGGTGCTGTGGCTCACGCCTGTAATCCCAGCTCTTAGGGAGGCAGAGGCGGGAGGATAGCTTGAGCCCAGGAGTTCGAGACCTGCCTGGGCAATATAGCGAGACCCCGTTCTCCACAAAAAGGAAAAAAAAAAAAAAAAAAAGATAAAGTGGTAGTTCCTGTGCCATATAGGCCATTGCCGTTAAAAAAGTCAGAATGCTGGAAAGAAAACTATTGAGTCACCAAATAAAGTCAAATTCAGATTTGGCGTATTTGAATGGTTTCCCTTTCAGTTTGGGGACCATCCTCTGAGTGACGTAAAGAGGAAGTGGCACAGCCTGGTGTAAATTCTAGGATCTGGCTGTAGAATGTAGACAGCAGTCCATTCTTATCTCTGACAAACTCGTAGGACAGAAAGAGAAAGAAAAGATTCATTCAGCTTTCCAGTGCTGGGTTGGAGAATATATCTGGGAGATGATCCTACGTGTTGGCTTGTGGTTATTTGATGTATGACAGGGTTAAATTTGCACAAAGTGAAGATGACACAAGGAACCTTAGATCATGAAAATTCAACTTCTTGGATTGAAAAAAAAGTATAGATTCTTTTTAAGTTAGAGATAATAATAATAATAAGGGAACATGGGAAGAATAGAGTGAAATTAAAGCAAATCCTCGATTCGGGTTTCATTAGACAGGAAGTTTCTTTTTTAAAAAAATAAATGCTTGTAGCAATGCTGAGAATTTCATAGGTACTTCATGGAATCTAACAAGTGAAGGTTTTTCTAAATTGATTTGTGTAGACTTAGTGCTTTAAATTATGCATTATTAACAGACACTTCACAAGTTAGCTGAACATTCATATTTCAACTGACAAGGGAAAGAAAGTGAAGTGATGCTTACTGAAGGCACAGGTCTGAGTACAGAAAGCCGGAATATAATTTTTGACTTTCAGTAGTTTTCATTTATCAGATTACTATACTATTGTAAAAATTACCTTCTTATCAAGACATAAATTTTGTATTGGTTAAAGATGTCCTGAAAAATTCTGCATCTCCTTGGCTTTCTCCGAAGTTTTAGGGCAGTTTTTCATTAATCTGTGTTATATTAAGTCCTTAGGAAAAGACAGAGTCCAAAAGACAGAGCTGGTACTGTAACCTCAGATTTTTGACTCAAATATCCTATCACTGAATTCAATGGCAATTACTTGCTAAAGAGAAACAAGATTCAGAAACATTGTCCAGATTAGGTCCATTACAAAAAACCCAGCCACTAACCAAACAAAAAACCCCAAACAAACAAATATAAACATATATCCCCACACATCTTTCGACCTGGTCTACTCAGCTGTTTCATACCTCCAAAAATAAAAATGCAAACCTCAGTCAGGTATTTACAGGTAGCATGGATGATTATAAAATCTCCTTCTGCATTTAGAAGGTCAAGATACTAACTCCCCTACTTACAGCAGGGGGAGAGAGGGTGGGTGGAAGGGAGCAAAGCTACGAAAATAGAAGGGCGGTTTCGGAGTGCCCCAGCCTCCACAGCCCCTGATCAGACTTTGCCGTGAGCCCCATTCTTACTTCTCAGCTGTCTTGAGTTTTGTTCAGAGCTTTTCAGGCCCTTTGGGTAGGTTGGGACAATCTATGAATTTGTTCTCTTTGGCTTGGTGGGACCTCTCTGGAATGCATAAAGCTCGGAAGGTTAAAGCAGAAAGGATTGAAGAAAAGAAAAAGATGGCCTCTGAAAAGCAAAAGAGAGTTATCTCCGTTCTTCCTCCTTTGTCCCTTAAAGTGCTATATCTGTGTACTCTGGGTGGGCTGTAGCGCCTGACAGCTGACAAAACACCACAGCTCTGCAGCCGAGCCCTCCCTCCACACACAGCAGAGAAGCCATCTGCCGCTGCTGTGCTTGGGGTAGACCTGGCTCTGATGTACAGGGTGGTTCCGCGAAGAAACAACAAAAGACAGAAAGGCAAAGCCGCTGCTACAGGCAGCGCTTATTAATGTGGGATCTCTTCGATCACCTTCATACAAAGGTTAAGTCATAAGCCCTGAGTTAATTGTGTTTGGATTTTTTTTTTTTTTTAAATGAAAGCCTCAGCGTGGAAATAGTTTAAAGAAAAGTTATCCAAACCTGAACCTGATTCTATAGAGACTCTGGAGTCAAACCATCATGCCCTGTCTGGCCACTTGCCAGGCACCTACATCTTCCTTCTTTCCAGCGTCATTAAGTCCTCTGCTGCATCTCCTGGACAGTGCCCATCGCTCTGGGATCTGGGAGGGAAGGACTTGCAAGCTGGGTGACAGAGCTACAGGGGAAGAGTTCACCCCAAGGCATGCAAACGCCTCTCACCAGGATTCTTGGCCACACTAGCCCTAGGCCTCCGAGGGTCTCACAACGTAACAGACATGAAACTGATGAACAAAAATAGCAGTAAAAATTCCTTAACCTTCAAGTCTCACAATCCCTGAAAGGTAGCTGTCTGCTCCCCTTCTGCTATACATTTGCCCTTTCTTTGCGTACAACCTCATAATATTTATATCTTATAAAATGAGCTGAGAAATCATCTCTCAACCCATCCTTGGCCCCACCCACTAAAGAAACACTCTGTCCAAGAATGAAACATCCAGAGGGCTTGAGAAATAGGATGTAAGGAAAAATTTTTAAAAATCAAAATTGATACTTGTGTTCCATTACGCCAGGAGAGACCTCCTTGCCCTGCGGTGAGCTTTCATCCAGCAGTGGGCCTTGCTTCCACCCCGACACCCTACACCTTGTTTCAGTCATCTTGCGAAGAGCACCAGGTAAGTTCCAAACCTTATTTCATTAGAATGCAACGTTCCGCAGTAGCTGAGAGCGTGGTAGAGTCAGTCAGGCAAGCGAGCGAGCTCGGATTGGGTAGAATTAACCATCTCAGGAGTTGGATCAGTGCTAACGTGCAGCAAAACAGAGGCTGGGATGGGAGAACAGAGTTAACAAGACCCTCATGCTCACCACGTAGGCTCTATGGGGGTGGGAGGAGCCTGTGTAGGGAAGGGAGATACTGGCTGAGAGGTGGATTATGGGGTCTTCTCTTTGTGGCCCCAGAGTTAAGGGAAGTCAAAATCTAGAACATCTCGAGTTCAGCTTCTGGGCAATGTTCTTGGTGATCTCAGTGCCCTACAGAGATGCTGAGTAGGGACTCCAAGTGAAGCCCAGAATAAAAACAGATTCTTCAGCTAGAAGAGCAGCCCAGACTCCCATTGTGTTCATGACTCAGGTGGAGCCAAGGGGACGCTAGAGGGGCTGAGCCCTTCACGGGGCCAGAAATTCTACGCTGACCCTGGCTCAGGGGCACCTTGGCTGGAGCCCTACCCCTGTCGAATGGTCACTGGCACTCTGTCCTCTAGGAGACGGGGAGACAGAGAAAGAGACAGACATGCATTCCCTACCTGGGAGTCTCTCTTGGAGCCTTAGGTGAAAAGAGGGGGATCGAAAATGCAAACCTATTTAGAACATCTCTCTGCCTTGGTTTTCCTTCCTCCTCCTTTTACCTTCCCCTTGTCTTTACGCTGGGGAGTTGGTGAAGACAACATTAGCCAGAGAAACTAAACATATGACTTGAGTCTTCTGCGGGGACCTCCAGTGCCCAAACCTGATCTTGCGGTACATCATCTCGAAGGCTGGTTGTAGTCTTTTTTTTGCATGGAGTTTCTCAAGATACTGCTGTGATTTTTAACCGGAGAAAAGAATAGGTTTGGGGGTCTAGAGGGGCCTCTTTTCAAGGGAAAGTGAAGAGGCAGACTCTGACACCTAGCGAGGGAAAGCTGGCATTCACTTTTGTTCAGAGGCAGCAGCAAACCAAACGAGATGATGAAAATGAGTTTGTGACTCAACAGAAAATTATTTTATTTTCTGGTCTTAATAGAAGAGGAAGTGCAGGGTAAGGGGAAAGAAACCCAATTTCTTGGTCAAGGGAAGGGAATAAAAGAAATCCACTGGCAAAAGAAAAACCAGGTGGTCAGTCAGGTGACCGCATCTGCAGCGCTTGCCAACACTTTATTGAGGACTCAAATACTTGTGTGTATGAGTTCAAGGCGTTCAGGAAGGTTTCCTGGCACAGTAAATTTAGTGTTTATACTATTTGCAGGCAAATTCCATTTCTGGGAATTGCTCTGCCAGCCTACATTTCTCCTGTTGAAATGGCACAAGGTTATCACTACGATTCCCTTTCTCAAAACACCATGCAATAGACTCACTGGCTCAGAATGGTCAGTCCTGTTGTAGGCCTTCCCCTAGGGAAAGCTGCATTTCCAAGGTGGAAAAAGCAATTTTGTGCACACAAAGCAGCCCACAGCAGCACTTTGGCATGAAATGACGCTGAGCAGAGGAAACTTGAAAAGCAATATGAGGCCCAGCGTCAGAGTGTTACGTAAGGATGACACCCGTTAGGATCGGGGTGTCGTACGTATATCGCATTCCCAGCCACCCTCAAGCACGCAAGTGCTAAGTAGGAGAGGAAAATGGAGATGAAAGAGGGTTTGAGGGTGGGAGAGCTCTGTCTCTGCCTCACTGGCCTCCTGGGTTGGGACAACTTTGGTTTGGGGGCTGACTGTGGGTCATGAAGCTCCGTCAATATCGTAAGAGAAGGCAGGACCGTGACAATTTTTCCAGCCATGTGGTTGAATCTGGCTTTTCAGGGCTGATGCAGCTATGCCTTATTTATATTTCAATTAAAAAATAGGGAAAAAATAGGCTCCTTACAAGAAAAATAACAGCTCTGGATCGCTCCTGCCCGAGAGGAGGATTGTGTCGGGGCTAGAGGGGTGTTTATCCACTGAGTGCTCAGTGCTGGGGTCCTCAGGATCCTGGGTGGGAGGCTCCAACTGTCCTGGTGGGGAAAGGAGGGCCCTGTCGGGCATCCGTTCACCTGCTGTGATGGCACTAACAAGGGACTGAAGGGGAAGGTACATTTCCACCACATAAAGCCAGTGATATGTCCCCTCCGATGGAGCTGTATGCCGTATGGCACAAGAGCGCCGGCTTGGCAAGAAAGGGCTCTCTTGCTCAGTGCTTCTGCGTTTGTTTGGCCAGTTCGGAATGACGGGGTGGGACTGTCTGCTCCAGCTCTTACTCTGGGGAGGGGTGAAGCCCGATTTTGGCTCAGGGGAATATTCAAGGTGACCGGGGCCCAGTCTTGTCATACTGCATGATGAGGCCCCACTGGAGCCTGCTTTGCTGGGAGCAGCAGCCCAGCTCTAAGCTGAGGTATATTTACTAATCACCTTAAAGCATCCTGACAAAATGACCCGAACCCCACACCAGCTGCTGAAGCTGCGGTCCCAGTGGTCCCTCCTCATGGGAGGTCCTCAGTAATTATCCAGACGTTCCCAGAAGCTGATTTCAGTCTATCAGCCTTTCCCGTCTTTACGGAAGTCCCTACCCAGTGGCGGATAGCCTACTTGGATATGTGTGTTCTCCCCTGTCGGGGGAGTGGCAGGAAAGGCTAGACCTTTGCACTTGGCCTTGCTGGGCTTGGCACAGCATTGGCCTTGCTGCCTCATGGACCAGAGTGCGGGCTGACGCTCAGCCAGGATGTGCTGGTGTGGCCAGAGCACTGTTACAGCTATTTGATTGCTTCTACACTGGTTGGAAAACAGACTCTGTTTTGAGTCCCTTAGGTGGCCCCTGCTACTCCACCCACACCCTCAGGGTCCCCTGCTGACCAGCATCTAAAGAGCCCAGGGCTGGAACAGCATGGGATGCAGCGCTAGGACCAAACTCCACTTCCACTGATGCCAGAGCGGTGGTTCAATACTTTGACCTTCGCCCTTACCAGAGCCTCAGGCACCTTGTGGACCCTGAGGGACGGCCTGACCTGTCCTAACACTCAGCACCTGCTGTGTGGGTGACAGGCCTCAGGGATGGGGGGCTACACCCCCAGCACCACCAGTTCTGTTTCTCTGAATGTCTCCCTCATGGTAGGGGCTGCCGGGCTGTGGCTTTTCTCACCCAGACCCGCGCTTGCTGCTGTCGCCTCAGCACCCTGACCGTTTTCGCCTCAGCTTTCTCCTCCCTCCCTGGCATCCGATGTTCCTGACTTAGCCTGCGCCGCCCTGGCAGAAGCAAGCCACAAGGTAATGCATGAGATACCACTGCCGTTGCCCCGGTGGCAGTGGTGCTGGGCGAGGCGTTAAGAGCTGGCGAGGGAGGAGAGTCCTCTCCTATGGTCTCCACTACTCCCCAGTTAAGAGCCAGAAAGTCTCCCGGGCTTCTCAGGGCACCGAGTGTAGACGTAGGCCAGCTCGATCCCTCCACGGCTTTTAGAAGAGTGGGAAGGGGCAAAGGGAAGCAAAGCCATCCTTGTGTCCCTTCTCCCACAGGAATAACCCTCCACGTTCCTGTGTTTTCTTTCCCCAGCAAAGAGGCAGACCTATGGCAGTGCCCATCTTGCAAAGGGGAATAAAGCAGTTTGGTGGGTTTGACTGCTGTTCCGAATGTCCTTTACTTCCACGTCTCTGATAATGCATGGTGTCCTTCCGTCTTCCTTTTCCCTCTTCCTCCCCCCCGGGCCGCACTGGCTTCCCAATTCTGTCTTGGTTTTCTCCATGTGACAGAAGAGCATGCATCGGAGGGGGGAGCAGCCTCTAGCATTTGTCATCTTCTTCCGTGTCACTCAGCAGGTTGTTGACAGCCCCACACATCAGGCCTGGCCCAGGCCCCCCGCGCCTCCGCCGCCGATAGTGCCCGTTGGGCATCTGCCAGCTGTGCCGCAGGGGTGGGGCAGAGCCGATGGTGTTGGAACGGCCCAGGCTAGTAGCCACAGCTGCTTCGAAAGTGAGCGTCTCCTCCTCGCCACAGTCTGAGGCGTGGGAGTCTTCATGCTGGGCCAGGTAGGGCTCGGAGATGTAGCGTTGTGGGGAGATGTGGTGGCCCTGCTGGGGGTGCGGGGAGTTGGAAGACTCGGTCAGGCAAGCGCTGTTGCTCTCCAGGGCTTGGGAGGTCAGCGGGGAGCCCTCCTGGCTTCCATCAGCAGGCGGAGAGATGCTGCCCGCATGTCGAATCAGGGAGCTGTAGGAAAGGAGGGGCCGGGGCTTTGGCGGGACGGGCGGGAGCTGCCGCCGACTTCTCCGTGGGGTGCTGGTGTCAGAGACAGAGGGGATGGAGCTCTCGCTTAGGGAACCTGTGCCCTGTACAGCAGGAGAGATGTGGCATGTTAGACTGGGCTTGGTAGGATCCCTGTTAAGGTCCCTACCTCCTTCTAGAGAATTCTGGGGGAGAGAGGCCTGAGCTGGAGCTCCCTGTGGTATTCACATGCACTCAGGGACACAGGGATGGAAGCGATTAAGGAGTCAAGAGCATTCAGATGAGGACATCTCAGACTTTACTGTGCACACAGACCTCCGGGGATCTGGTTAAACTGCAGACGCAGGCTCAGAAGATCTGGGGTGAGGCCTAAGATGCTGCATTTCTAACAAGCTTGCAGGTGATGCTGGAAGTGGCAGGCCTGTGGAGAGCACACTTGGACTACTGAGGAAGCTCTGCCTGTGTCACAAGGGCCACCCTGAAAAACAGACAGCTCCGTGGAAGGTGCGCAAATGCTCTGGAGCTGCTCGGTCTGGGAAACCCTTATTCCTACCCACGTCTTCAGTCGCTTGCTGAACTCAGCTTCTGTACCTGGTACACTCAGCTGCTGGCTCAGGCCATGCTTACCCTCACCTAAACCTCCAGGGGAACATCTTTTAAGGTATGTGTGACCGATGAACCCCCTGCTCAGAATCCTAAGGAGGGGTCTTTTCAAAGGCAGACTTCTGGATCTCACCAGAATCCTTCAGGCCCCAGGAATGCGCAGTCCTAGTTAGCTTCGTAGGTAATTCTGTTCTGAACTAAAATGTGAAAACTGCTGTTCAAGAAGGGAAACCTCTTAACTGCTGTGTCGCTAAAGGTCTGCATTAGCAGCCCTGACTTTTTTCCCCACTGATTGTTTCTGTTGAGGGGGTCTCCTCTCACAGGTCGAAGTGACACGAATAGACGACAGAGGGCTGTAGTGAAGAGTAACACAGAGTAGAAGCATGTTTTCACACAGCTCCGCTAGTTACTCCTTAGGCACCAGGCTGGTGGTTCAGCCAAAGACACGGTCTTGTTGGGGCCGCCGGGAGCTAGGTGAATGAGGGTGAACTGCTCTGACTTACGGATCCCGGGCTGAGGGCTGAATCACCATTCCCACAAATACCGATTATCACAAGAGAGTCAAAGGAATCTTTCTAGCTGCGGGACCATCATCTCCTCCCAAATCTGGCTGAGACATCTGTCAACCTATTTATATCTCTGGATTCTGAAGGCTGGAATGGAATGACCTCTAGACACCATCTTTCTTGGTGGGGGGAAATCTGGTTGCCTGAGGACACAGGCATTGAGCAGCTAACCTCTATGCACTATAGGTATAGTTTCCTGTGAAGCTTCAGTCTTAACTCCAGCCTTTGTGGGTCCTTGAATGTGGTTGCTAAATGCCCACGATTTACACCTAATGATACAGCCCACTCTCTTCCCTGTCATCCTGATGTAGGCCGGCTTCCTCTCTGTGCTCACCTTTCGGTTGGGCGTCTGTGACCTGCCCTCACTGGGTGACCTGGATGGACGGCGCTCTGGGGACTCCCAGTCAGCCTGGGTCCCTCGCTCCTCCGAATTGCAGCGGGAGACATCAGGAGAGAGAAGGTGCTTTCGCTCTTTTGATCGTCCCCTCTCCCTGCCCCCCGAGCGGTGAGTGTCAGACTTGTGGCCTGTGAGAGGTGACAAAAGCACTTGGTTATAACTTTGACCATGGCGATAAAGAGACTTCTGTCTCGGCATCACATCACAGCCTGGAGTTGGACCCTCAGAGGAACTGCATGTTTGTGGCCCCTCCAGATTCAAATCTTGAAGCCTAACTGGTTCCTGATGGGATGGTGCTGGGAGGTGATTAGGTCATGAGGGTGGGGCCCCCATGGTGAGATCAGTGCCCTGATAAGAAGAGATCGGAAAGTGCTTGCTTCCTTTCTCTCTGCTCTACATCACGTGAGAACAGAGAGAAGGCAGGGATCTGCTGGCACCTTGGCATTGGATTTGCCAGCCTCCAGAACTGTGGCAAACACGTGTTGTTAAAGCCACCCAGTCTGTGGTAATTTGTTGTAGCAGCCTGAACTAAGGCCCCTAAAAGAATCCTGGTTCCTCCAAGCATGTCAAAAGATGATCTGAAAGGGAAGCGGGAGAGAAAGACAGGCTGGAAAATTACCTATTTTGTGAGCAGGTAAGTTTGCAAGGTGCCACTAGAGACACATACGTCAAAGAATCCAATCTATTCTGCTTCTATTTATGCTACACACAATATGGAATCTTGGTCAACAATATGGCTCAGGAATTTTCTATCTCATAAACATGGCTGTGCAACTTTTGGGCAGGGAAGGTGGCATCAGCAGAAGGGAATTAAGAAGTTTCTATGAACTGAATAATAACCTACCTAACATAATGCCAGGGCGAGAAGCCCAGGACTGAAATGAAAGGATCCCTGTTCCAGTCCCAATTCTGGCACTTAATGGCCCTACAACATGGGACAAGTCACTGCTTTTTCAACTTTGATTCCTTTATCCAGTAAAATAAAATGGTTAAACCAGACTAACAATTTGCTTTTTTAAAAACAACAATGACAAATGCTTAAATGAAACTCAAACATAGGAAACAATTCCAAGTAGCACTGTTTGGGCTGCAGTGGAATTGGTGGTTAAAGCTCAGTCCTCACAGTGGGTCTCTAATAAAAAGCCCCAATGGTTTTGCAGACTATTTGAAAACCTCTCTCAAATGATTTGTATAACCCTGCTCCAGAAGGAAGGGATTGCACCAGCCTTTATGGTGAACGCAGAGGAGAGCTTTGGGCCTGTTTTACTGATGTAAGTCACATTAAGGAATTCCCTTCGGTAAGGAAAATCCTTCCCTTCTACCCTTGTCTCTGTCTGAATTGTTTTCTGGTTATTTACAGTCCTCGCCAGAGTTTAAGTCCATCAAGGCAGGAACTCGCTGCCTGATAAAAGAGCTAGACACCGAACACCTCCTCACCTGAATCAGAGTTCAGGCGGTGGGCTGACAGCCGCAGCGAGGAGTGGTAACTCCGGCGACGGGACTTGTAGGTATTTTCACTGCTTCGCTCCATGGAGAATTCCTCCAACCACGAGGAATTTGAACGCTTATCCCGAATAGTGGAAAACGAACGTCTCATGGAGCTGGGGTCTGTCACCACCTGGAAATAGAAGCCCCCAGAGAAACACAAGGTATGGATTAATGATTGATTGAAAAAATCTAAAAGCACAAAAGCAGCAGGACTGAGGCTTTGAGGACAGGAAATTGTAACCCCTGCAAATGGTAATGTCCCTTGAATCTCTCTTGCTCAAACCTTAGCTGGAGGGAACTGTTCAAGAAAGTATCCTGACATTCACATAGTCACTGGAAATGGTCCAGGATGTTTTCTTCCTGTAGCTGAGTGTACCATGGCAAAGCCAAGCAGACTGCAGGCAGGCGTGTGCAAGCTCCCACAGAGCCCTCTACCATGGGGCACAGTCAGGCTGCAGCAAATACTCTGCTGCTTTGGGAACATGTGAGGGCAACTGTCTCAAAGGCTACCCCATGAAAGAAGCATGGCTCTGCTATTTTTTTTAATGCCCTTGCCAGAGAAGGCCCCGCCCTGCAGCGCGAGAGCCTAGGAGACCTTGCGATTTAACAACTGCTAAGAATGTATCAATCACTCTCCCTTTGCCATTAATCTACCTAGCCCCGCTTTAAATGCTGGCAGTTTGATTTGCCACAGATACTAAAACAAAGCCACAAGAAACTTCTTGTCTCTGTCAAAACCTGATGTAAGACAGACAGACAGAGGAAAAAGCAGCCAGGAAAACAGACAAAGAAATGAGGCGTGGCCTGCACTGGTTAGGACAGACAGTCCCGACACGGACCTGTGTGTGTAAGTAACTGCCTATGTGCTGGAGGAGTCAGGAAATGCAAAAAGGATTGGAAAGTGCACAGAGAAAATCCTGGAAGGTATTTCTTGCATGGCTGGTTGAAGTTTGAGAATGTTGAGCCCATCCAGAGAGAAGTATGCAACTTTGTTGACTGGGCTGTTGTGGTTAGGGGCTCACTGAAAACACTGGCAGAGCAGGCTCTATTAGAGAAGGCCCATGAACCAGGTTGTATTTAGAGGGAAGAAGGGGTGTGGGCAAGTCAAGGGCTCACCTGCAAGTATCAGGTATTAATCTCTAACCCACCGAATACAGCCCAGATGCCACTGCCTTAAGGTAGGTGGTTGCTTTTTACCTGGGGATCCACAGTCAGACGTGGCATAGAAGATGCCCTCCCAGATCCCGCATGCTCCTGGGTGTCCGAAGGAAGGTAGATGCCTTGGTTAGAGGGCTGCACGCTTTTTAATTCACTAACCTCTGGCTCCTGGAAATAAACACACAGCCATGCTCGTGGGACTCGGTTCCATCTCACTGCATCTCACGTCCAGTGGACAATTCAGCCGCCTCAAGAATGGCTTTCAAAAGAGAGACTTGCAGCTTTAAGGCCTCAGTTGTATGTATATGTGTTTTTATGTGCACACATGTGCTATATGTCCCAGACAGGAAGCTCTAGTGTTGTAAAAGGTAAATGAAATTTAGTGACATTTAATTTAGCTGAATATATCCAAATATTAGCATGTCAACATGTAATTGATATAAAACTTAATCAGATCGTTTATATTTTGTTTGGACTATCCACATGTGGTTAACGGCTATTGTTTTGGATTGAGCCAGCCTACAGTTATTAGGTTGGATTGGAAATCTCTAAGGTTCTGTCACTCTTGTTAATTTCCTGGTTAAAGACTGTTTGGCAGTCGCGCATGCTCTATACAGATAGCTGGTGTCATTGCATAAAGAGCTGTATGGGAGATGTTTACATGGCCACCCACCAAAGAGAGCTAAGAACATCTTGGGCAGATGGAGATTGTACCAGAAAAGGCTATTTTGTATTTAGCAAATGACACCCTAAAAACATGTAGGGCATTGCCTAAATGAAAGAGTATCTGGGACCCCCTCCTTAGCCTCTCTGACCCTTTGGCTGAGTGGTTTCTCGTGTGTATGGGAGCGGTACTTTCCCAAGACATGTGCTATGTGCACTTAAGGGAGTTAGTGTTTGCAGTACATGCTTTATACAGCACACGGTTCTGACTCCAAACAGACGCGGTAACAACACTGCAGTCTACAGGTATCAGAGGCGGTGTGAGACGCACACTCCATATGCACAGACACAGTCATGGCCACGCCTTGGGACGTGGAGCAGGGGCCCCAAGGGACGGGCAGAAGTACACACAGTGTGGTAGGTGTGTAGCACAGGCTGACACCTGAATTGAATTACAGACACCAGTACTGACAATGAGATGAACACATATCCAAAAAGTCCTGGCACTACGGCTCAGCCCCGGGGAACCCGCAGAAATGATGTCATAAAGTCTCCCTGTGAAAGAAAGGACACATTATTGCGATTTTTTTTCCCCACTAGACACATCACCAGGCAGACATAAAGCTGTGAGGCCCTTTTAAGAATCAAACTATCTATAGCAATTAGCCCTAGGTCTCGGTGCTAAGTTCCTCACCAGGGACGGCAGGGGATGACTCCAGGAGTTCCTACCCACCTCACCAAGAACACCCTCAGGCAGTCAGTCGCTTAGCCCTGGGGGTGTGTGGACTAGCTGTCTTCCCCAAACCACCACACCGGATTCTCTGTCTCAGCATTCGCAGGAGATAGAATCACACATTTGTTGAGCTACTGAGTGTTTTTTGCCCTCTGAGGGGGTGCCCATTCCCTCATGCATCATTATTCATTCAGCACAGTAGCAGTGGGGAGGGAAGAGCCACAGATGAATCAGAATTTAAATGATACGGAACTCACTGAGTACAAGCTGTCTGTACAGACTTTTGCAATTCTAAGCTGAGGCTGGGGTAGGGGGGCCCTGGAGCTAATGGCTCCTGAACCAGCAATACTGGTCAAGTCAATGATGTGTAGGAACCATATTTTAGCTTCGTTATTAGCTAAACCAAAACTTCAATCTCCCTCTAGTCTTCAAGCTTGACTCACTAGGTCTCTCAGGAATTTCACCATTTATGCTAATAAACTTATTTGGGGTCAGGAAAGTGACGTTTAGGGGCCTGTTAGAATGTCTTTGACTTTGTGGAACTGTGACCAAAAGGGATGACGTGCCTGAACCCACACAGAGCAGAGGTAGGACAGTCTTCTGTACCTCCTGGCAGACTGCTTGTCACTGGGCTCTGGAAGAGGTGGGCATCACTAAGGAACGGCATGGGGCAGTTGCGTGTCCCACAAGTAGTACCTAGCTACACTAAGGGGCACGGTTAGTGTCAATCATTCTTGGGTGAGGCATCTTCAAGCCCCCCATCAAAGGCGAGATTTTATACGTGACTTTAGGTCTTAAGTTCCTGCTGCAGAGAAGGGACCTCTTGGGTTGTAGAACCGGAAGAGGGAACATTTTCAGACCACACAAGAAACTGGGCTAGAAAAGGGCTGAGGCAGGACACCCCCAGGGCAATTGGCTGGACTATCAGAAAGGATTTTCCTGACGGATCATGACTACGTAATAAAAGTTACTGAGGGGGATCAGGAAACCAAGGAGGTATTTTCGAGGTCATATAACTCATGCATTCACCAGAGACTGCTGTTCCTGGAACTGTCCATCATCGGCAGGGTCCATACAAGCCAACTGGAATATCTCCTGGGGAGAGAGTGGACTCATCGAAGGATATCCAGTCCGGCCACTCCTGAAAAGCAATGTCCAATCCAGAGGTAATGAGGGACAGTCATGTCGCGGCTGCCACTAGCAATTCCCACCCCAGCAGGGCAATACCCGTTAGCCTTGACCGGCTTTGGTAAGTCTCATAACTTAAAAAAAAAAAAAGCACTGGAAAAGACAGACTGGTATTTTCGCCCTGCATCCTGCCTTTGGAACCATTCATTATTCTGCTGGGGACTAGCAAATCTGCAACAAATGACATTATTTGTCACAGTTGGCCATATGGAAGACCAACATTAGACTGTAAACCTGTTTCTGCTCAGTTTCCCCATTTGGCGGAAAAAATACAATAGTTTACACAGTGAACAGTTTGTTTCAATATTAAGCAGCCATGGTCTTTTTAAACAATTTCCCTACTCACAGTAAGAATATGGTCTTATTTTGCCAACATCCCTGGCCAAACTCAACAGTTCAGTCCAATTCCATTACCATTTATTGAAGGACTACTCTGTAGCATACGCCAAGTCTGTTGGTTCGTGTACTGAGAAGGATTTCAGATGTGGTGGTGAAAAAAGAGGACAGGGACAAAGTCTGCCCCAGGTTTAGAGGTCTCCAAGTGAAAAGAATGGAGAACAGGCACAGTAGGGTTGTTAATAAACCGCTGTCTAATACTTCCAGACACTCTTAACCTGATGGGAGGCACTGGACTGGTTAGGAGCGCAAGAGGCAGCCAAGCTTTCTGGAGAATGTGGTGCCTGTTGCCAAATTATTTGCTGACTGCCACCATCTGACCCGCTCCAGAATACACAGTGAGCTTCCAGATTACGGGACTGGGGTCAGTGGCTGGGCAGCAGCTCTCTTGGTGGTGGAGCTAGGAGGGAAGAGATGGGATACCATCTCTTTTAAGTCTATTCCTGATGACTCTGCATCCAATGGAAAACTCAGGGCATGAGCAAGGATTGTCAGTTACTTAAAAACGATCCATAGGTATGGTTTTAGATTAAAGGGGAAGATCTGAACAGCAGAGAATCACCTAATCTGGCCCCTTCTGACAGTGAGAGCTTTTGCTGAGTTTTTCACAGCGGCTACAGAGTGACCTGATATGTAAATGACCTTCCTAAATGTCTGTCATCTTTCTCACTGCGGCATCGCCTAAGAACCACTGGGAACAACATGAGCACAGCTGGTATGAGAACGGGTTCTCAGCTCTGTGCTATGGCTCACACCTGTACTCTCAGCACTTAGGGAGGCCAAAGTGGGAGGATAGCTTGAGCTCAGGAGTTTGAGACCAACTTGGGCAACAGAGTGAGATCATGTCTCAGAAAGAAAGAAATGGGTTCCTTTTCGTCCTACAGAGAGTAATTATAGAATCCTTAACGGAGGGAGAGGACCCCTGGAAACACTTAACTGTCTCACAGAGTTGAATAAGTGGAACTCAGAGTAATCTCCTACTTTGAAAACCTTGTCAAGCTGGGGGATAAAGTCCAGAATTCCGAACACAGCCTCCCTGGCGATCCCTACCTCACTAGCCTCTTGTACCACTTTCCTATTTGCTCCCTGCATTCCAGACACGCCCGCCATTTTTAGTTCACGGGACACGCTAGGCTTGTTTCTGCCTCAAGATTTTAATAGAGGCTACTCCAAGAGTGTAGTACACTTATCAGAACTGTAATTAAATAACGGAAAACGCAAATTCTCTTCTATCTAATAATCCTCTGTTTAATGTCTGGTTTTCCATCAGATTTGAGGGAGTGACCCTATCTGTTCTGTCCACCACTGTACCCCTAGATCAACCTCTACTGAGCAATGCATGGCTCCAGAAACACAGATGGTTCTGAGGAACCAGCTTGCTGTTCCCCTAGTGTCCCATTTTAGGAAATGTATTAACATGCACCCAAAGGCTTCACCCAGAATCCTTTGCTTCCTCCTTCCCCTTTAGTCCATGTAGCATATCAATCACCAAATCCTGTCTGGTCTATCTACTAAATATCTCAAGTCTGACCATTCTGTCTCCATCTCTATCCCACTAGTCCAAGCTACCATCGCTGATAATGTACACAACTCCGGTCATCTACAAAATGGTGTTCCTGCCTGTAGAACTGCTCCCCTCCAATCCATTTAGTCTCTACTGAATTTAAAAAAGCACACAACTGATCACATCATTCTGATGCATAAAACCCCACTATCCTAAGACTAAATCCAACGTCTTTATCCTGCTTATAATACCCCCAAAGTACTAGCCCCTGTGTATCTCTCCAAATCCACAACTTAACACCTCCCCTGAGCTCTCCATGCTCCAACCACCATGACAGCCTTTAGGCTCCTTAAACTCACCATATTTTCTCTTACCACTCTTGAAGAGCTTGTCTTCAAGTCTCACTCAAATGTTACTTCCTCAGGAAGGCCTCTCTAAACCCTCAAACTGGGTGAGCTGTTTCCACGACATCACAACAGCCCCACCCTTCAGCACTGTTTTGTAATTTCTTCTTCCAGATTTGTCTCGGTGGGGACTTGTTCTCTGTTGTAGCCTCAGTGCCTGAGCCAGCTCTGGGGCCACACTGGCTCTTAATAGATATTGGTAAAAATCAATGAGTAAATGGATCAATAAATATATGGGGAAAAAAGCCAAAGTGATCCTATAGTGGGAGTTAATTTGCATAGCGAATTGCCATAGATAAAACAGAAATTGCAATTAAAGGGTTGGTATCCCTCATTTCTAAGCCAAGGACGCCCCCCCCCCCCCAAAAAAAAGTGTAAACCCTTCCAGTGGAGCGGTCCCACTGTTCTGATCATACTTCCTTCCCTTCCTCTTACACAGACAGAAAATAAACAGTGACTTGTTTTCTGTGGACAGGAGAATTCACACCCTGCACTTCATCACATCAAATTGTAAACAAACAAACAAAAAACACCAATGGCTTTGGCCTTGGCCTGACTCTGGTCCTTTTCTTCTCTTCCAAAGGTGTTGGGCTTTATCTCTGAAACCAGTGCTTTTCAAAAACAGATCTCCAGCACCACAGGCAGAAAGCAATCAACGATCTGAGCAATTCCAAATGGCTCCAACCGAGGTCTCATTCTCAAGCCCGGGGTATCACTCCCTGATAATTAAGTTACCCAATTTAGTGATTTCTGGTTTGTAAGAACTGGGACTTTGTTAAACCCAATCACAAAAATGCGCTTACATTGAGTAGAAAGACTCATGTTCTTTGGGTACTCACGAAATGCTTGCTGATGATCAAAATGTAATAAGATACATATGCTATATAGTAGATAGATTGAGGCTAAGGCTTATGGCTCAGAAGGATAAGAAAATTCCTTAATTTGGATTCTATTTCCACTTCTATTATAGAGAAAGGTCCCTTTCTGAATAAAGGTCTCTTTTGTTCATTAAAGGAAACATGGTATACTGAAAACACTCTGGGGTCAGAAATAACAGACCTAAATTCCAATTCCACATTCTACTAGCCGTATGACTTTAGGCAATGTAGTTAACCTCACTTAGTCTCCAGTTTCTTCATGTGTAAGGTGATATTAATATATACCTCCAGGGTATAGTAGGCTGCTGGAGTGGGAATCAAGTGAGATCCTGCAAATTGTGTCTCTAGAAGTGTCAACCTCAGGGAAAGCAGTAACTGCTGGTTCTCTTCCCCTCTTACACTCAGCCAGCATGACACCCGTGAGGGAGGCTCTATCTTCCAGCAGGACACTAGATCCACGGGGAAGCGATAACCAAGAATTAGATAGGAGATGATGATTCTTCACAACAGAACTACAGCTAAGACCCAAGTGGATTCAAAGACAAGTCAAACTCCCTTCTTCTATTGTTGATTCACAAGGATCGGTGTCTGAAGCTAACCACAGTGCTAAGCATGCTTAGTCTGTTTTTCCCTTACTCCTGCTGAAAATCATTTTAAGATCTCCAACTGCAGAAAAAGGATCACTCAAGCTCAGAGTATTCTTTCTTAGGCCCTTCTGAGCAGTGAGTTTTGGGGTCTGCACAATGGCATGGGTGACAGATGGCAAGCAGCCGTGCCGGAGACGTTTTGGTGCTACTCACAGGCCTGAAACGGGGTCCTGCTGGAGGTAAGGCAGGGCTTTGGCATTAGCAATAATCTCCTGAGGCAGAGATGAGGGCTCCATGCGCTGGAACATGGGGGCATTTTTCTGGGTAAGAAAAAAAAAAAAGGAAAGAGAAGAAAATTCCAGTGACTACAGAGTTTGCTGTGGGGAAAATAGTTTACACGGATAATACAGGCACATAACTTACTCTTTGTGTGACTACTTGAAACTTCGATCCACTGGGTTTCTAATTCCACATCACTAGCAAGTTCTTGGGCCTGCACCCATTACTGCTGCTTCTAAGTCCCTGCAGGGCACCATGCCCCAGGAATGCACAGGCCTGTCCCCTCCTGGAACTCCTCACGGCCCACCCACTTAGCATGCTGGCATTGACCTTCACCTGTTCCTCCAGCTGCTGCCTCTGCTTCTTCACCTTACTCTGCTTATAGTAGTCCATGATCATCATTGCTGCATAGATTTTGCCCACAGTCAGGTCAGAGGCTAAAAACACAAATGTGGCATGATAGTGAAGAGGGGGAAGATGACGGGGGAGAGTGAGGAACCTCTAAGATTTGTTACCCACTCTCTGCAACAGGTCTGCACTGTCCGTTACCCATTCATGCAACCTATGATGAGGGCCCCCATGGTGCCAGGCTCTAAGGATACAGAGTGCATAGGTCCCCTGATCTGTCCTCAGGGGGGCTTGCATGCCCACCTAGTGATGGTTATGATACGGAGGATAGGCAATACATGAGTAAGCATCACACCTACCATCCTAAATCTCTACAGCTAAGGGACAACATCCTTTTCCCCATGAGGCTTTGCTGAGCAGTATTATGTGGAGGGAGAGAGCTATACACCCAGGAAGTCTCATCCACAACCACTGTGATCTATCTTAAAGACCATGTTTTCAATTAATAATGACCAAAGGGACTTAAGGATAAAAGGGCAAACTTCCCTTTTGTCTTTGATCGCTCTTGGTTTCCACAGAAGATGTGGCCTTCACATGCTGGGCCCACAGTGACAAGGATATCCAGGAAAAGACCCGAACCTTTGGGCATGGGCACAAGCAGATCCAGCATCTTCTGGGATAGGTGGGGCCAGATGGCTAGGGTCTCCTTTTGCAGCTCCGAGTCTAGCTGCTGCCTGTCTGCACCACCTAGAAGATACATTACTAGTAAATAGATCCGAACAGACCCAGAAATAACAAGGACTGAGGGAGGAGGTGGGGGTAGGAGCTGAATGAGCAGGGGACCTCATATTCTAAGAGGAGATCTTGGCACTTAATGATGGTGGATCTCGCAATACCAGGTCTTTCTGCTGAAGAAGCAGAACACGTTTTGGCTCCTGTTTTCAGTGACTCAGGGATATCCTGTCAAGAGATCTGAGGCCATGAGACTAACAGCAGCTTCCTCATTCATTCTGAAAGCCTCCCAGGTGCTCAGTATACCAGAGGAGAAAATAAAAACAGCCGCAAGTACATTCCTCTGCCTTCTTATCCATACATCAATCCTTCCAGCAACCCTAACTCCATAGTCTAAGTGACCTCATTTTACAAGGATTTAGATCGGGCAAGAACAGAAAGGACAAAGGTCCAACTGGAAGTAGTAGTAAACCTGTTCTCTCCTAAATCAATGATTAGAAATCAAGCGGAATAAACTACTACCATGGCCTCTACGGCAGCGCCTTCTGCTACAGACGCCTCTCAAGACTTCAGAGAAAATAAACCATATGCGGAAAACAAGCATAAAATTAACCTTTGGTCAATAAATATTTCTAGAATACGTATTTTAAGCCAGACACTAAAGAACAAACACCTTTAACTCTGAAGGAAGCCCCAGAGATGATCAAACTATTCATTGTACCAGAAGGAAATGGCAAATATTAGTTATTGAGTCAGATACCTGATGTTCAGATGACCGCACTGTTGCGGCCTTAGCCGGATGGATGATAATTCAAATATCTCCATCCTGTGCCACCTGCGTTGTTCCAGAATTCCTCCTTCCCACCTCCCTTCTGAAGCTTACCTTTGGCAATTTTAATGTCCAGAGCTGTCCGGATCAGAGCCATAAGCGTGGAGGTGAAGTGGACCGTCATGTCCTCAGCTACTGGCATGTTCATCAGGACCAGCCTCTGTGTGGAAGAGAAAAAAGAAAGAGCAGGAAAAAAAAAAAAAAAAAGACACTTCAGTGAGAAAGAAAGAAAAGGCCAGAGGTCAAATGTACAGACAAAAAGGAAGGGCAAGGATCCCCATCCCCTGCCCCAGTCCTTCTCTCCCTGCTTCTCACTTAAGGCCCATTTGATGCTGGGTTTTTTTTTCCCCACTGAGGGAACAATGCCAAATTCCACAAGGAAGGGGCTTCCCTAATCATTCGGTAGGGCTCCCCCATGGAGTCCTAAGAATGTCTTTGAAGGAGATGGGAAGTGATATCTAAAAGAAGATGCTCAAGGAAAGGAGTCAGCTCTGCGAGGTGCCTCCATTCCCTGTTCAAGGCTGCTCCATATTTCCACTTGTATTCCATGAATACCCCCAGAAACTCACAAGGAAATATCGTGAGAAACGAGATTTTGCCTTGCTTATCTGACTTGAAAGATGCATCCTGGTGCCCCCTTTTTGAGTCTTTAATAGATGAAATCTGCCAGCACATGACTGAACATGCATAAGTCCAACTTATCTAAAGGGTGAGGTGGAGCAGGCTGGATAAGGGGGAAAGTGCAAACAGGCTCTGGGGTAGGAGGATGGGGACAGCAGAGGAGAGAACGAGAGAAGGGTGGCTCAGGCAGGAGCAGAGTGGGCAGGCCTTGTTCCCCTCACCCAAAGAAAGGGATCACACTGAAATGGCCAAATCCACTTTCCAGAGAGTATCTTGCTTTTGGAGTTAACTTTTCCTCCAATCCCTGCTCCCCTTCTCCCACAAAGCTTCATCCCAGAAGTACAAATTCAAGGCCACATTCCACCACCTGGTACTTTTGGATGTGGCCATCGTGAGCAAAAAGGATGCCAGCCCCTAAGCTGTGCACGAGGAGCCATGTACTGGGGGTAATGAGGGTGTCTAACAGCCATGTTCTGGTGAGATGCTCTCCGGAGCCATTCAACTTGAGGTAACAGCAGGAGAAGGTCCTCTGGCAGAACCACCAGCCTGGCAGGGAGGGAAATACCTCTTCCCAAAGAAGGGTCTCTAGCATTCCACTGTGGCGTCCCGCCTAAAGCTGATGCCACAGGGTTTCTTAGAGTGGAAAGCCAGTTTGTTTGGATTTGAGTTCCATCTCTTTCCCACTTTTTTCCACTTCTAGAGAATTGGAAGCATTACTCTGATGTGTTCCTAGGTGAATAAAAGAGCTCCAGAGTTCTGGGTCAGTCTAAACAGCAAAGGGGAACTAACTGTAACTATTACTAGTGGGTGGCAAAACAACTCACGTCCGAAAGCTATGAGCACCCTAATGGCAAGTGACTCCCAGTGCACAATCGTCTCAAAGTGGCAAGCCACGGGGGAATCCACCCATAACTCCAGGGCCAGGTCCCAGAACTATGTCGTGCCTGTAAGGCAAATTTAATGCTGAATACAACTTATGCACATTATTTCCCTTCCTTCCTAGTACTTCCAAGAGAATTGAGTAGCTGGGCTAACGGGATGATAGAGCCACATTCCTCAGTTTATCACAGGATGGAAGACAGGTTCCTCTTTCCTTCCTATACCTAGAAGGAACCTATGCCATTCTTCTTATGTCACGGGTGAAAACATTTGTCAAGAGTCTTCCTCTCTCCTAAAAATTTCTTGTTTAAAGGAATTTTCTTTCCTCCTGACAATTCCATGTTTAAAGAAATTTCGGCATGATTTCCTCAATTAATCTGATTGAAGATACTTCTTTACATGTGAGCACTGATCGCTGTTGAGCTGTAGGCTTCCTTCTTGCCCATCTATGCCATCCCACAGGCCACCACTCTGCCTCCTCTAAAAGGAAACACACCACTTAACACACTGCTTGTCAGGTAACTCACTCACAAGAAGCCACACAGTTGCAGAAACACAAAATATCACATAAAAAATCATGGTGAATAGTACTGAAAACCATTCCTTGAATCATCGCATGGGAACCTTCAGCCTCCTGGGAACCTTCCCGACTACCGAGTCTCATCACGCCTTACCTCCTTAGTTCCCTCCTCCGCCTCCCCAGCCTGGCTTCCTCCCCATGTTCTGGCCTCCCCACAACTAGATCCCATTTCCTGTTGGTCTCTAGCCCAGAACAAAGGAAGGGGTGGTCTACCTTATATGCCACCTTGGAGGGACATCTCTTGCCGAGGCCTAGCGGAGGTGACATGAGAGTCAGCATTTCATACATCTCAGTGTAATGGATGCGGCCACTGCTCATGGAGGGTGGTGAGGTGGGATGGGGCAGGTTAGCGGGGCAGGGGGGTGGCAGGGAAAGGAGAAGGATGCAGACAGGTAGGAGAGGAGAACAGGCATTCCCAGAGAGCAAAAACGAACAAAATACAGAAAACAGGAGAAGAAAAACAAAACAAAAAACGGACAAACGGGAAAAGAATAGGAAACCTGTTAATCAAGGCAAATCGTAGACACGACTCCATCCTGGTGCTGTTTATATCACGCCCCACACAGACCCGGGAACACTGGTGGCAACTTTGGTCCCTCTGACTCCTCGGGAATGGTCATGGGGACTCATTTTCTCCTCGATTAGTATTCCCCGACTTCCCTGTTCACGTCATCCCTCCCCAGTACAACACAGCTTATTTTCCATTCCCAGGGCTGTGTGTGAGTGGTATAAACCGGATAGACGGTGCTCCAGCCATGGGTTGGAGTTTCTGACCCCGGCGGGGGCGCTGGCCTGGAAGTCAGGCCGTTCTCCTCTGAACCCACAGGCGGAACGTCGTGTATCCCCCCTCTGTGGTGTGTGTGCAGCAGAAGGCGGCGTCTTGCGCTGAAGGTGGTGGGCTGTGCTCGCTGCTCAGAGTTGGCCCCGTTGCTTCCACCTGGCTCTGTGGACAAGACTGCTCTTTATTCCCCAGCATGTGCCAGGTCGATGGCATGCTGGGGACAGAAGAAACAAAACCAGGAGGAGGAAGAGCATCTTGCATGCCATGCTGCCCTCCCCAGCTCTCCCACATGCGGCTGCGGGTTTCACCAGGGTGGAGTTTAAAGAGTCTCAGCAGAGGGAGCTGTCCAGCCTCCTGAGGATGGAATCACTCTGTCACCATCCCAGGCCAGCTCTATCCCATCGTCCAGGCTGGCATCCTTCCTGAGCCTAGGTCTTCTTCCAGCCGCCCGGGCAGTGCTATGCCCCAGGGAACCTATGCATCCCTCCACTTGCACCAGGAGAGGGCTCCTTACCTAGCAGGCTTGGCCTCAGACAGGGGCTTAGTAGAGCCACTGAGATACAAAGGGTTCCCAGGGTATGGCGGAGTTGAACAGGGAGGTCTACTCACCCCTGAACAATATCCTCAGGCTGACAAGAAGTGACTTGGAAATTATGACAGTGCCCTCAGATCCCTCACAGAAACCCACGGCAGGTCTGAGGCCGAGTAGTGCTTCATTCACTGTGATCTTCCCAGACCCTCTGAGCTATTACTCCCTTCTTGCACACAGCACCAAATCCATGCCTCTCTTAGATACTCTCACCTCTCGCCCTAATTCTTTGCTTCTCACCCCCTCTGTCCTATAGCTTTCATGGTCATCCTGACCAGAACATCCAGGAGCTGGGAGGGTGAGATCGCCAGGATCACGCTCCATATACTACACAGGGGATGACGATGCCACTTGGCTAAAATGAGGCTTCTCTGTCTCCCGTGAAAAGAAGCCAGAACGCTTTGCCGGATTAAAAACATTTCTGCATTCTATAGAGAAAGGAGAGGTTCCTCTGGTTAACTGTGCAGACTAAGGTAGACCTGTGTGTGTGTACGTGTGTGTGTGTGCGTGTATATGTACATACAAACACATACATGAGTGTGTGCATCTGAAGAAGACAGTGATCACAGTGGTCTTCATATGAAGTTCTTAACTCTTCTGCCTTTTCCCCAAAATATACCCTTCTGCTTACATAACAGCTGCTGGTTCTGGAAGGGTTTGGACCTCTTTAAACTCAAAGGAAAGCAACATGAAGGTTCCCTCATGTGGCGCAGTGGCGGTGGAGCAGAGGACAGAGAGGAGGGGTTAGATGTTGCATCCCACGGCAGGTCATGGCTGGGGACTGGGAGGCAAACCTTGCAAGCCACCCTGTAGGGGCAGTTCTCTCCCAGGCCCAGAGGAGGCGAGATCACCCGCACTAATTTGTACATATCCTTATACGGGATCCTGCCGCTGTAAAGGAAGCACAGGTGGGTTAATAGGACACTCGGAGAAGGGTGGGAAAGAAATGACAGCTTAGCCATGAAGAGGACAGCTGAAAGAGGTCAGAGCAGCTTCTTTCCTTGGGCCTGGCAAAGCCAGACCAGGAGAGACTGAAAACAGTAAGCACCAGAGAACCATTACCTTGCCAAACTGCACTGCTGCAATTTTCTAAGGAAATCGGAGCCCAGCCAATGCCAAAGGGAACTGCCTACTGAGCAAGAGCACCCCGTGATACCTATCTGGCCCATACCTGGCCAGATGCAGACACAGCCCTGGCTCTAGCTAGGCTTCTAGCAACAAAGCCTGCCAATTCACAAAGGACTCGGACCGCTGTCCAGGGCAGGCGCCAGGCTGCCTTGAGGTGGACCGCAGAACTGTGCTTTCCACAGACACTGATTACAGTCAGTTACTCAGACCCGCTTGTCAGGGCCAGTGAGAAGTCAGCGGCTTTCTGCAGTCTGGAAGAGACAAATTTCCCATTAGGCTAATTAGCAAGGAGCACAGTTGGCATGAGGGAAATCACAAAGGGCTTTGCTTCTCTCTGTGACAGATTTTTCTGCGTTCAGCTTGGGCAAGTCGTCTCTACTCGGTAGGAGCCTGCTGAGGTCTGTGTTCAGAGAGCAGCCAGGGAGGAAGCCATGGACACTGCCCCTCCCAGCCCCCTTCCTGCCACCTAGCCCACAGCAGCTTGGCTGGAGCCAGCCAGAATTCTAGGAACCACATGACCTATCTTACCAACCCTTTGCCCAGGAGCCCCCTAGAAAGTTCTGGATTCCTATGGAAGGGATAGAATTAACGATGATGAATTTTCAGTGGCCACAGCATCTTCTCTGTCAGGGGCCCGAAAAGGCAGCAACAGGGATTTGCAGGTCTGTATACACCCTGACACAGACCAGGGTTTCCACTGGAAATGATAAACACAGCATCTTCAGCTCTGTGCGTTCAGTCCTTGCCGGCGGCCATGCGGAGGCTACTGCTTCAGTCCAGCTTCACTCTTTCTAGGCTTTTTGAGATTTCATGGTTAATTCCTCCTGTTCTTCCAGAGAGCAGCTCATCAGTACCTCCAAGTCTCTCAACTCTTGAGAGGATGTAATTTAGCCAGGTGTTCTTCCATTTTGCCTCAGTGAGATTGGGAAGCAGGTGGGTTGGGAGTGGCTATAGACTGATGTTTTTCGCAACTGGTATCAATCCTCCTTCTGAAGACGTTGGCTCACGTTACTTTTGTTAGTTTTCCTCGCCCATCTTATAATGAAAGCCAACCAAACTCTAACTAGAATGAGTTATACTGTGAATTTCAAAGTACACAGAGGAGATTCTTTGTCTTTTTGCTCTTTCCCAGTCCACATGTCTGAGTCTCATGATTCATCCTCATGGAACCTTTTCTTCCCAGCAACTGGAATCAGCAGGGTGGAACACGTTTTATACACATTGCCTTTGGATCCCAAGATAAGTGAAACCACAGGAAGCTGGGGTTTCTGGGAGCCAAGGATACCTGAGTGAGCCCAGATGAACAATGGACTCTTTTGCTCACAGCTGGTTTCTCCTCTTGGGTGAGTAGAGAAGTCCCTTCTTAGGCTCCCAATCCCATAGATATCCATGGTTACAGGGGCTGTTTTTCCAGACCTTCCAAGTAGCATTCCTGCGTGGTTATCATCGATTGTAGTAACAGTTACACACATGATTTAATATCATCCTCACAACCACATTGCAAGGTATGTAGGTATCATGGTTGCCATTTTACAGGTAAAGAAGCCCACGCAGTCCTGGCTGTACCTCCTCTAACACACTGCCCATTGCTTTCTAAGAGCTATTTACTAGCGAGTAAGACCAAAAAGAAAAACCTGTTGCTCAATCATTGTAATAGGAATGGATTTAGATAACTGTACCCTGTCATTAATTACTGAAGAAAAGAATTCTGATTCACCCTTCAAGTCTCTAAAACAGCAACTCAAGTTCAACAGCCTCACCAGAGGATAGATTTTTGGGAGAAGTCTCTGATTATGAAGGGGGTTCCAGGTGGAAGCAACTTGGTCCACGCCTGTGAAGGATAACATTTCTTGTAGTATTTTTCAGAGGGGGACCAGAATGGATAGAAGACTGGTGAGTTAAGACCCAAAAGCTAAAATGACCTGGAATAGAACAGATCCTTCGGAGTCAGCATTCATAGAACTCTCACCTTGTCCTCAATCATGAGGGCCAAAATGCTGCCATTGTATTCTAAAGCAGGGATTAGCAAACCTTTTTGGCAGTAATTTTTTTTAACATCGTAGGTTGGTGCAAAAGTAATTGAGGTTTTTGCCATGACCAAACTGCAATTACTTTTGCACCAACCTAACATTTCTACAGTAAATACTTTAAGATTTGAGGGTCATACTATCTCTGTCACAATCACTCACCTCTTCCTCGTAGTATATAAGCAGCCAGAGACAATACATAAATGAATGGTTGAGCTGTGTTCCAATAAAACTTTATTTGCAAAAACAGACGGGGCTGAATTTCACCCATGGGATAGAGTTTGCCAATCCTTGCTCTAGAGCCTAGACAGCACACCATCACCTCACAACTACTAAACAGCAAAAGAGACTACAGTAAAGAGGTTATCTTCTCCCATTCCTATCATTTAATTTAGTTCCATGTAGTAAAAATCCACGAATGTTTAAGGGAGCAGTTAGAAGAAAAACTTGTCTGGTTTTTTAAAAAAGAATAACTTGAGAATTATATCCAACTGTATGCGTGAGAGGAATGAGAAAGAGAAAACACTCATGGTCACTGATCATGGTGGCCAGATGTCCAGCTGGCCGAAAACCCTTAACCCCCCTGGTAACAAAGAAGTCCCCTAATCATTGGCAGAAAAAGGAGATTATTAGAAACTCCTCTTGGGATTGAACTCAAATAATCTAAGGTAAGGACTGGGTGATGAGACCAGCCCAGAAAGGGAAGAGCCTGTCACAGAAGGAAGGAGAGACAGAAGACTTTGGTGACCAGCTTGATACCAGAGTCTCTTCCATGGGCCACAATCAAGAGGGATCTCCTTTCCTTCTGTAACGGGCAGGCATCTAGGTGGCTCCAATTCCAACCTCTTCCCTGGGAACTCCAGAGACCTTTGCTCTGGGCCCCACTGGAGTGGCCAAGGGGCCTACGCACCATGCTGCTCGGTCATATTCTGCCCAGACGCGGACGAACTCGTCCAAGTGGTGAGGGCCCAGGATGGAGGAGTCCCGAGTCAGGTACTCAAAGTTGTCCATGATGACGGCCACGAACAGGTTGAGCATCTGAAGAGCAAGGGGAAGAACAGGGGTTAGGGGAAACCCAAAGCAGAGCTCAGGAAGCAGAAAAACAGGCTTTAGGGTGAAGAAAAGAATTCAAAAGTTTGTAGGGCACCACTGATCTTGCTGAATGCAACACGTTTTCATTATCTGTACCACGCATTTCATTGTGTGCACATTCTTACTGTGCATTTCTATGCCACTTCGTATTTGCGGAGTACCCCACAGTCACTTTTATTATCAGTTCCACTTATTTAATTGTTACTGTGGCAGCAGAGGGAACAGCAGCAGCTACAACATTCTTGAGGACTAGAGGAAGTCAAGGCCAGATGCCAACCTTCCCTCCCCTGACTCCTCCTCCATTCTTGCTCCACAGAAGCAGCCCAAAGAACAACTGTTAACATGTCTTAGAGCCGACAGCATGGCCTCCTGCTGTGATGACTTTAAGCTGTTGTTGGCTTTTAAGCAGTTTCTAAGTCCCTACTCTCCCACTTAATTTGTTTAGGCAGCCTTTACTGTGCACCTACTATGTTCCAGAGATTCGGGAGCCAGAGATGGGAGATAAGAAAGTTCTTGTCCAGAGGTATATTCCCGTGCCTAGCACAAGGCTTACAGCACAGCAGGGCTTCACTAGATGTGGTTACATGAATGCTCTTCAAGACTTATTTGGTACTTAGGCGAGGCTGTGATGTAATGGAAACATACAAATGTTAAGAGCCGTGAAAGAAGCATGTGCAGATTACAGTGGGGACAGAAAGGAGTATGAAGGTAACTTCTGGCTGAAGAAAAAATGTCTAAGAGGGTGGATGCTTGAGTACTGTTCATCAGATAGACGTGGCCATGGAGGAGGGCGTTTTAGCAAAGGAGCCAGCCCAGAGGTATCCAGGGATAGGGAATAGCCAGACATCTGCAAGGAGGGTGGAGCAGCGGGGTCTGAGTGCCAGATCACAGAAGCATCTCACAAACTGAGCTAAAGAGTCTAGACCAGGACCGGTGAACTGGTCAGGCAGGAAATATTTTAGGTTCTGCAGGCTGTGAGGTCTCTGCTGTAACTATTCAGTTTTGCTGTTGTAGCACTAGACAGACCATTTGTATACAAATGAACACAGCTGTGTCCTGGTAAAGCTTTGTTCATGGACCCATGTAATTTCCACATGTCATGAAGCATCATTTGTCCTTGGTTTTCTTTCCTCAACCATTTAAGAATGTAAAAGCCATTATTTCACGGGCCATACAAAAACAGGTGGTAAACCTGATTTGTCCCATTGGCTATAGTTTGCCAACCGCTGATCTAGACTGTTCTGTAGGCAACAGAAACTGCTCAAGGGTGGGAACCCAAGGGAGGGTGTTGCGGTACTCATGCATCTACCAGGGGCAAGATGACAGCACAGACTGGAGTAGAGAGTTAACGAAGGTGGAACCAACAGGACTTGATGGCCACAGTCAACAGCACTGTCCCCCACACACCCATTCACTGTATGTCTGGTCCAGGTTCCTGTCTGTTCCCAGTTAGTGAAATTCAGTGGGACGCCCTCCTGTGACCCGGGCCTCAACTAGTCATTAAATCCCATTTTCCTGGGCACAGTGGTCGGTGATCCCATCAAAACGAATAAGATCGGATTGAACCTTCTGGGCAAAAGAGTTGTTTTTCCTGTTGCTCTTAAAGGTATGAGAATGTGAGGTCTAGAGCTGCCACCACGGCGGTCTTGAGACATGATATTTGTACTCACGGGGATGGAGCAGGGTGGAGGCAGAGATCTGTAAATAGAGAGAAACCTGGACCTGATGGTATCATCTGAGCCCCATATCAAGCCTGCTCTGCCCCAGGACTCCTCATTTATAGAAGCCTGTAAAATCTCACTTTACTTAAGCTGGACTTGGCTGGGCTTATTGTCTCTTATTAAAGTGAAAGGGTCCTGCCTGATAGACACCAACTGGCAGGAGAACAGGAGTCTCTGTTGTGGACCCCCAGGTAAAGTGGCCAGGTGCACAGAGGTGCCAGATACGCAGACAGGGTGTACAGGATAAGGAGACAGTGTGGAGGCAGGACACGGGTGGAGTCTCTCTGCAAAACAGAGAGACTGCTGGTCACACCTAACAGCCACACTCCTCTCTGCCTTCCTTTCTCCTGCTGCCTAAAGTATACGTGGATGGCTGGAGGTCTAGGTGTCTTCTCTTCCATGAAGATGAGGGACACACCACAGAGGTGACGCAGCAGAAAGCAGGAGTAGGTCTGGGGCCCCAGCACCCCTGTGGACCCAACATGACCAGACTGCCTGCCTTCCTCCAGACTTCACGGATGTGGAAGGGAAATCAGCATCCCTCCTGGTTAAGCTGCTGTTATTTGGAGATTTCTGTCTCATGCAAGTGAACCTAATCCCAGCATGGGCCTATCATTCTGCCTCTGAGGCTGGAGCCACAGTGAATTTGCTCAACCACTGCCCGGGTTATAAAGGGTTTTCCATGTATCCACACATTTCTTTTGTACTCTTTTCAGGGTACCTATTATTAACGTTAACAAAAACTGTTAGCATTGTTACTGCTTTTCATTTGTACAGTCATTAAGAGTGTGGTGTGTGGAGTCACACCTATTACTTGTTTTTATGCTTGCTCCAACTCTCTCTGAGGTGGGTTTAATTACCATCACACATCAAGGACAGAATTCTTTGGATTCATGTTTGTATTCTTAACTTCCAGCATGAGGCCTGGGGCACATGGTGGGGCCATCAGTAAATCTCTGAGGAGTGAATGGTTTGAGTTGAGAAGCTGTGTGACTTGTCCAAGGTCACAAAGTCACTCTCATATGGAGCCGAGACCTGAAAGCAGATCATCTCATCCTGAATATAGCCTCATTAAAAATAACATTAATGTGAATTATGCAGCACCCTCTGTCTCAAAATTCCAAAAGTACCTTTATGGTCTTTAATTAATTTCCAGTTATATCTTTGGTTTCTTTTAAATATTTATTATGAAACACTTAAACCACGTAAGATAAAACTGAGATGTCCACATGCCCTTCTGTCTGTTCCATTCCACCCTAGCAGTGAGCACCGACTCCTGGAAGCCGGAAGCTGTGAGCTGGTTTCACCCCTTGACTACTGGTGACTGAGGGATGGGCCTTGCTGAGCGTCAACCTCACGATGGCCACTCAATAAAAAAAGTGCTGAAGATGTGACTCAATGGAAAACTCCCATGATAGCATTATTCTGAATTTCAGGGTTTTTTTCTTTATACATTATACTTCAATATTGATACAGTTGTGCCTTCTTTCTACCGAAAAACCTTTCACATACATAAGAAGGGAGTATATTAAAATACGTGGATCAGTTCATTGTGTATATAATGCTCCTATTATTACATCGTTTTTTTCTCCTATTTTATAGAGGCTATAAAAAAGAAAGTGTTGCGGCCAAGGCCAGCAGCGGAAGAAAGCCAAGACCACTGCATGGGTTGCCCACGTCTCCCGCTGGCTCACTCCCTGACACACTGAGCTACAGGCTACACTTCACAGTCTCTCTGCAGCTCACCCCCCGCTCACTGGCGAGCCGGATATGTGGGACGTTTCAGTCCCCTTGGGGTCACTTGAAAGAGGCAGCAAGGCCTGGACCTAAGACAATGAATGTACTTTTGGATGCGGGGCCAGGAAGTGTCCACTTTTCAGTGGCATCACTGTTTTAGTCTTAGGTTTTTGTACAGCCAGTGGTATTAACAGTGAGGCTGAGCTGAGGAATTTCAGAGTGACCAGAAACACTAAACTGACCCTTTTATTCATTTATGCTGTTTTATCATTCCTTGTCTGATACGCAGGACAGAAGTTTCTGGATGTGGGTGTGCTGAGTCGTGCTTTTTCCAAAAGAGACTTAAGAGGCACCCAGGGCTTCTCACCACCTTATAGGTGGGTGCTCCACCTATCCTACTCAGTATTTACTGACACCCAAAGCAATCATATCTCTTCTCAGCTATCAAGCTGGTCAATAACCCTCAAATATAATAACATTACAAGTTAAGAGAGAACCACATTTATTCCATTATCATCATTCTACTCTTATCAATGCTATAACCTTACATTTTTCAAGGTACCTTTTCTCAAGCAGTTAAAGAGAAGATATTCATAGCCCTACTTACAAGATAAAGTACCTGAGGCATGACAAAGAAAGGATTTACTCTGAGTGTCCACTGGTTCAACACGAAGCTCAATGCACTGAAATATGCTCACCTTTCCTTTCCACAACAATCTTTCCCTAGAAGCAGCAAAGACTTTTCTCAACCACTGAAAGTCACCCACCAGGAGTCTGACAGGCACCCTAGTCTCCAAGAGTTCTCCACGGGAGGCTCTAGCTCTTAACGTGGGCATGAGTGTGAGCGTGTGCACGGTGGGGGTGTGGAGAGAGGAGACGACGAGGGGACGAAAGCACGAACATACACCGAAGCAAACATCTCCTATTTATCAGAAGGGTTGGGAGTAGGAAGGGATGGGCCACATCTCGAGGCAAGAGCACACCGTTGCTCACCAAGAAGGAGCAGAAGAAGATGAAAGAGACGAAGTACACGTAGGCCAGATCGGTGCCACAGCGCTCATTCTCATTCTGCCCCGACGGTGCGGTGGTGTCAGGCTCACAGCCCTTCTCCCCGAGGCACGACAGCATGATCTCCTGCCAGGCCTCACCTGTGGCACTCCTGAGCCCGAGAGACATTGTGGTTAGCAGGAGTGGGTCTGCAGATCCTATCACATCCTTGGTCCTCCTTCCCAACTCCAACTCCCCCATCCCTTCTCTTGGCCTGGGCCCAACAGGCTCCCTTGCTACCCAGTTGGCCCTCTCTAGTGCTTTCCATGCAGAGATAAAGAGTGCCACCGAGGTCCCTTTTGGGTTCTGCTACCCCGTCCACTGCCTCTCCATCTTCTGCAGGGTCTCTGCTACTAGTCGTGGGATTCTCTAAGACCCCACATAAACCTGGCTGTCCGAGGTTTCCGCCCTGAAGTGGAATTTGGTCTGCAGATACTGTCCTCACATCCCCCCTCCTAAACCCTTGCAGCCCATAGTGAAGTTGAAATTTGCAAATTAACTGCTGAGCCAAAGTAGTTAATCGATGCAATTTTCTCCCCACCCAAGTATTTACCAGACCCAACCCTGCTTAGCTTCCAAGACCAGACAAGATCAGGCACATTCATGGTAGTACGGCTGTACAGAAGACAAACCTTTCTAATGTTGTCGGGGCAGTTTGGCAAAGGCATTGCCCGCTTCCCCTTCTACTGACAGGAGCAAAGGAAGCAGAATAAAGATGCAAGGGGAAATGAGAGGAAGAGGCAGACCACCTCTCTCTCCCTCCATCAGGAGAACTGCAGCTACAACAGTTAAGCATCCAGGTACCTGAACAGCAGCATTAGGGACCCAAAGAAACTCCGGAAGTTGTTGTGCCGGTTGATGTGACTCTCCTCATCTAATTTTATGTTTCCAAATACCTTAAGGAGAGAAACAACAGAGAACAATGAGCATTACCGAGCTGTGTGATGCGTCCAGCACATGGGGGTCGGTGAAGCCACGTGCATGGCTTTCTGATAACCTAGCCCTGGAGCAGACAACTCAGACCCAGAGAGCTGCCAGACACTGTGCTCTTGCGCTGACATGTAAGAAAAATTATCCTCCACCGCTCTAGTGCGGCAAGGAGCACCCATGCAGCAAGGTCTGAGCGTAACGGAGAATGCAAGCTCTTTTGAAGTCATTCTGCCTGTACATAGTTCCTCCCACTCTAATCTGGTCTTTTTATCTCCATGGTACCTGTCACCATGGTACTTAGTCTGTCAAAGACAGTATCCCACAGCAGGAGTGCAGGGAAGGAGTTACCCCTTTCTTCCTGTCTCAGGTAGTCATGATGGGAACATTTGAATTTGCAAGAAAACATCATTTATGATTTGGGCAGATGCTACCCTGGAATTTACAAGCAGTTCGGGTCAGAGAGGGCGTCTCTATCTTCCTTAGATATATTTCTATCCAGAAAGTCGCATCTTAGAAGGTCTGTATGTCATTCATGTAGAATCCACGGCAATGAACAAGCATATATCGATGTGCATGTGTCTACACATGTTCACATGTATCACCCAACAGACCCAAGTCCCATCTAAAAGTAAACATCTATGCAGGAGCTGAAGCAAAGTCGAGGCCAATAGGATGGAGAAAGTTGGTCCAACTGGACACTTTGAAAAGGAAAACAGAAAATGGCTTTGGGCAGATTCTGGGTGACAGAGTGATGCTGACTGACCTGCTGCTGGCAGCTGAGCTTAGAATGTGATCACTGTGAATATTCAAAAGAGGGAACACTCAGAGATCTTTATCCACAGAGACCGAATAATGATGAACTCTCAGACACAGTGCTGCCTGGAGCCGAAGTCAACCCCTCCACTCTTCAGATGAAAAGGAGGCTTTCACACATGCACTCTCCTTCCCAGCTGCATTTCGGGTATCAGGACCTGTTCTCCTAAGTCAATGCTGGTACTATGGATGGCTTACTGGGTTACTTTTCCAGCCATTTAAGACAATTTTCAGCCTGCAGTGAACATGCTTCAGTTTATCCAATGTCTGCTAAATGGAACACATTTTCCCCCTCACAGTTTTTAGAATGTGCAATTGAGGAACAATCTCTGCCCCCAGCTATTTTGCTCAAGTAACTCCCACTGACACCTGCTCTGGGAATTTGTTCTCGACGCTGTTTTTCAAAACCCAAATACTACTTGTCTCTCAGGGAGAATGGAGGTGGCAATTGAGGCAGCAGCAGAGAAGAATGGAAAGAGGAGAAGGCAGAGGGCCCCAAAGAGACAAATAGTAGCATTTAAAAAATCCCACCCAAGCAATCAAATCTAGTTAACTCTGGATCCCCCAAGAGGGCTCTGACATTTATCCTTGCCCTGTTCACATTTCTGGCCCTCTCCTTTCTTTACCCTCTTGGTTTGGAATTCACGATTTATCCCTGATTCATCACAGACATACAACTTACAGTGTCTTTTTTTTCTCCTATGACACGCCTGGAGCTATCAGGAGTTGTATACAGTATGATTTTCTCAAACATCTCATCCAATCACGAATTAACTGGAGAACATACTGTGATTTTGCACAAAGTATGTGTGTAATAGTCCAAGAAACCAAAGCTATTTTGAATCTAAGATAATTTAAGTCAAGCCGGGCATGGTGGCTCACACCTGTAATCCCAGCACTTTGGGAGGCTGAGGCGAGAACACTGATTGAACCCAAGAGTTCAAGACCAGCCTGGGTAACACAGTGAGAACTCATCTCAAAAAAAAAAAAAAAAAAAGATAATTTAAGTCAAAAACATGTATTGTGGTCTTAAATTTTTTTCAACTTTTCACTTACTCCTTGTCACTAACTCAAATGTCCATCAACAGAGTATGAAAGAGAAAGAAGGGATGCTGAGGCCCCATAGAAAAATCTCACTAGAGTGTAGATTTAAATCCATTTCACTTGGAATCACAGAATATTAGCACTAGAAGAGACTGGCAAAGGTCTCTAACCAACACCTCCAATGAATTAACGAGAGAGATATGGTGAAAAGAGTGATATGGTGATACAGTGATTCACCAAGTTCACACAGTTGTTCAGTGACGGAGCTGAGGCTGACAATCCCACCTCCTAGCACCATGTAGCCACAGAGCTCTGTCTCATCCCAGCAAGTTACTCCTTCTTTCTAACTTCTGATTCTTCTACAAAGGTCCCATTTTCCAAGGAGCCTTTGAAAGTTTGGAATAATAATGGTTTTTCTCATAGATATACCCTGTTACTATTTGTATTTTTCCAAAAGCTTGTCCCTTGCGCTTTTATTTGTATGCATGTCCCAGTTTTATTGTGACTATATTAGATACGGTCTCTCTAGCAACAACTCAGGTGTCTGCTCTGTGTTTGATGCTAGGTCTCATCATGGATCAAGATGGGGATGGCCAGCTTAAAGCAAGTCACAGCAGAAACGCCATTCATGTCTCTGTGGAGTGCACATAGTGCTCTTATCTTTTGGAAAGAAATCTAAAGGGAATAAGATATTAGACTGCACAGTTACTGGGAAGACTACAGTTTCGTAACTGAACAACTCCTACCCGCAATGAGAGGGTAAAACAAACTTGTGTTTACTTGTCTGGTGGGAAAAGAGACAGTACAGAGTTAAGAACATGGCTGTGGAGCAGACAGGGCTGAGCTTACAACTCACCTCTTTCACTTACTGCCTGAGAACTTGAGCATTTTGTAAGTTACTTAACTGTGCTAAGCGTCAATGGAGACAATGAAACACGTATAAACGTTTTCACATTACTCAGAAACATCAGGATATATCTTGCCTGTGCATGCTCGCCCTCTCTTCCTCTCACTCGCTCCCTTTTTCTCCACCTCCTCTCTCTCTCTCTCTTTCTCTCTCTCTCTCTCTCTCTCTCTCTGCATACATTTGGTACAGTGTCTAGTACACCAAGGAATTTAAATAATGGTAAATAGCATTATCACCATTACCAGAATCAACAGTATTCATACTGGATCAGTATTGGAGATGGTGATATTCTAGTTTATTTTGTTTGAAGATGAAAAGGGGTAAGAACTGTTTTGAGCATGGGCAAAAGGAACTTAATTATAACCAGACAAGAAGAATGATAATGTTCCCAACACGAGTAAGAGATAAACGTTTGAAGTGATGGATACCCCGACTACCCTGATGTGATCATTACATATTGTATACAAGCATCAAAATATTGCATGTACCCCCAAAATATCTACAACTATTACATATCAATAAAAAATAAATTTTGAAAAACAATTTCATTTAAATCAAGCTTTCATTTGGCTCTTCAAGAATATTTTAATTCCAGAATCAAATATATTGGAGTTAGACAGGACTTCAGGGAAGTTACCAAGCGAATCTGAAACTTCAGCAGGAATTCTGTTTCCAACACTACCATCATCATCATTAAATTTCTACTGAAATATCCCCAATGAAGGACAACTCACTACTTCTCGACCAAGTCTCACACATTTTGACACCTGACATTCTACTGTATTTTTAGAGAACAAAATTATCCAGTAATAAAGAATGAAACCCAGAAGTACAGGCAAGAGGGAAGAGTGAGAGGAAGAGATGTTTCAGAAAGGCTCTGGAAAGGGCTGCAGACACAGCACGGCTGGGACACCCCAGCAGCAGCTCCAGGTGGCAACACAGTTGGGAAGGCAGCCGGCAGGCTCAAGGCAGCCAGACTGCCTGACTGCAGGAGGCTGTCACGTAGCCGAAATTCTGTGCTGGGATCCAGTCACAATACCTCCAAGTCAGAAAGTCAGCCCTCTGGAGACAAGCAGAAAGCCTGTGTCTCCAACCAGATAGGTTCATGGGATGTGCTGCTGGTTATTTACAGTAGGAGTTCACCCACCACGAACAACCATCACCTTTGAAAGAGGCTTTGGCTTCTTCTGCTTAGCAGGTCTCTGGCTATCTGCATAAATACCTGGGGTGGGAACCCGATCTGCTTCTTAAGTTCTGAAACTGGACAAAGTGTGGTAAAACAAGGGAACTGTCCAGCAAGTTGCACGGCCTCATTAGCTGGAACGTGGCCCTTGAATCTCCCTAGGAATGAGCAGGCTGCCAGGAACTCTGAGTTGTTCACAGTGATGTGTCTTAGGGCATAAATCTCAGCCAGTCAAGACTGTGTAAACATGAGACTCTATGAGACTCTATGTGGAGATCTGGTGTCACCACATACAGGAAGAACTAACATCTAACCTCCTTTTAGGCCAAGTCAAAATACCAGAGATCCACATGAGCTCCCCTCCTCAGTCTCCTGGGGGATCTTTTTGGCTAAGCACAATGGTGTCGTCTTTGCTTTAGTTCTATGGCTGTCACCACAGAAGCCCAGCTACTTACGATTTAGCACCATGATCTGAAAACCTGAGATGACACCCCTGTACCAGACTACCCTGAATACTTAGGCAAGCTAAATGGGGAGCCACTGCACATGGGAAATTCCCAGGGTCACACTGGACGAGACCTCAGGGGAGCACCCTTAGGCAAGAAGGGGTTCAGAGCATCTTCGGGTCTTGCATGCTCAGGTTGCTAAGCCAGAGATTATCTGGGTAACAGCTGTCCCCCACCAGGCCCTTGCTCTGCCAGCTCACCTGCATCCCAATGATGGCATAAATGAAGAAAAGCATGGCAATTAAAAGGCAGACGTAAGGGAGGGCCTGGAAGAAAAGCAGAGATAAGATGTTAATCAAAGAAAGGCAGCACCCAGGCTCTACAACCTGCATTCAGGTGTACAGATCCACCAGGAGGCTAATGCAAACGGAGGCCTGGGCCTCCCTCTTCCCGGAGGCTGTTCCATTTGGAGGTGCAATACTCTCTCAGGTATCCTTGTCCTCTGACAGACAGGAAAACAGCTGGCCAAAGAGAGGCTTACAATTTACCTCTATCAGGAAGATTCACTCTCCCAGAAGTATAGCCCATATCTAGGAGAGCTGGGAGAACTTCCCGGGCTTGGAATTCCTCCCACTTGCTATGCAGAAAATGGATAACCTAGCCATTGTCATGCAAATTAAACACTAGGAACCTAGCTTTGCCTTCCAAATCCCTGTTTATTACCCCCTCCCACTCCCATACCCAAGGTGGCGCCCATAATGAAGAATCTGGAATCTAAGTGAAATGACTGGGGTCTCACTTGTTTGTAAGTTCCTAGAAGGCTCATTCATCTTCTGATGCAACATTATTTCCCAGTGTTTAAGCCTCCTGACGTTTTATTATGTTTCATGCAAAAGCCGGTTAAGTTAGCCACCCAAAAACCCTGCCAGGAAGCCATGTGGCACAAAATTCTGTACTGTGCATGCTTACTGCTGCTTTGAGACATTTTAATTGTAGAGGTGAGGGTCAAGGCAAGGAGATGTGAGGCAGAGAACTGCTTGGTGCTGGAGGAGGATGCGATCAGAGGCAGTTTGGATCGGGGGTCAGAGTGGGACACTGTAATTTTGTAGTGATCTTTGTGCTGCCAGAGAAGTCTCTCTTCTTTGCCATCCAGCAAGCTCCCTGGCAGACAGTGCTACAAGGAGTCTCCACCCTGTCTTGATTGTGCACACCACGAATCCCAAGAGATCAATTGAGGCTTTCAGACCGCATGAGCAGGGCAGAGCTCTTCCACAGCGCTAACAAAATGAGGAGCCCTGTGAGACTATTTACAACTTGAATAGAGGCTAAAATTAAAATGCAGCTGAAAGCGGGTGGGAGAATTCCCTCTCCAATGAAGTGTTCATTCCTAGGCTCTGTGATGACGGATGGCTGCCCTCTGACGGGCAACGTGGGCCTCCTCTACAGAAAGCCGGAAGGAAAGAGACAGGGCTTCTTGCACCTGCAGTGCTGCTGCCTTCCATCTTTACCTTCCACCCTTATTCTGCCTTCTCCACTCCAGTCCCTACTTATCTCTTCCTACTCCTAACTTAGGGAGAAAAGCAAAGAGTCATTCTGTTCTCCTTTCTCGTCACGTCATCATTTCTTTTTCTTTTTTCTTTTCTTTGAGACGGCGTTTCGCTCTTGTTACCCAGGCTGGAGTGCAATGGCGCGATCTCGGCTCACCGCAACCTCCGCCTCCTGGGTTCAGGCAATTCTCCTGCCTCAGCCTCCCGAGTAGCTGGGATTACAGGCACGTGCCACCATGCCAGGCTAATTTTTGTATTTTTAGTAGAGACGGGGTTTCACCATGTTGACCAGGATGGTCTTGATCCCTTGACCTCGTGATCCACCCGCCTCGGCCTCCCAGAACGTTATCATTTCTAACACAAAATAAGGGGGAAGAGGGAAGAACTCTAGAGTAGGGGTCAGAGGTAGGAAACTGGATGCTATTTAGGGGAGGGTGGGGAAGGTAGAGGCAATGGAGATGCTGTTCATATTGTGTGGCTCTCTGCTTTGTATCTGCAGGGGTAGCCTTTGCTAATCTTTTAAACATCTAACTTCTACGCCATGTCCCAGAATGGTTCTGAAAAAGGAAACATTTATCTACAATGCAGTCTCACCTCGAGGCAGATTCACCTGTCTTCCCTGTTCTCTGTGGTATTTGCTGGAATAAGCCAACCATTTGGCCATCAATTTTTGACAACCTTTTCTTTACACTCAATAGTATATGGTTTCTCGGAGACTTGGTGATTGTGATAATATGACAGGATGACACATATTTCTTAAGAGACTCGCTAACAACTGAAGTCTGTTGGGCAATCCTCTGGGGAAAAAAAAAGGTTTTAAAGCATCTTGTGTTTCCAATTCTAAATCCAAAATCACCTGAGACTCAGAAAATTCTCGCTAAGGTTTTAGATTTCTCCTCTGTATCTAACTTTAGAATTTTTTTTTTTTAATGTGCCGTGTAAAGTGAGTCTACTCTGAAGCCATCTTGGTAAATTTCCCCAACAGCGTGAAGTTGGAATTCCTTCAGGGTGATGCCAGCTTCTATTTGGAATTTATATACAACCTGCTTGGGTGGAGAAGCCATTGTCTTCAGAAACCTTGGTGTAGTTGAACTAATAGTTACTGTTGTGACCTGAAGTTCACGATTAGAAGGGATTACCCAAACAAAATCATAGAACTATTGGTTATAAAGATGATTGTTGGCACATCCTATGCAATACATCTAAATTGAATAATGGTACCAGATAAAATTATCGATGGGAATGAAGCTTGTGTATCATCCATTATCATGTGTAATCAATAAACTATTTAATTCTCTTGGAAAAAAAAAGAAAAATAGTTTTCATTGAGGTGAGGTCTCCGTGGGAGTCATTATGCCAAACAATTGCTCTGGATAGGATAAAAATGTCAAGGTCGCTCCTAGAAGCCAGAACACCCTTAAAATTGATCTCACATCTCAAACTCCCAGGTCCTCGATGAAGAAGTAAATCAGTAATCATGGATGTGAGCAGAAATCCTTTTCCAAGTGATGAGAAACCATTAATTCAACTCCTTGCCTTCTTTAGCTTAATTCTTAATTAAACCATATAAATATCTAATATAAGGCAATCTGGTGAATTTCTCATCTTTGAGTGACTTAATTCCATCAAATTTATTTTTAAACACATTCATTGAAAAACTCGTTTTAATAAGAACAGGCATTTGAACAACACTTAGGTCTTTCCCCCAAAGCTTAAAAACAACTAATTTATGGTATTTGCTAGAGTCCAAAGATACTTAAGTATGCTTAGGAAACTTTTACTGGAAGTCTGGGTCTCAGGTGTCAATTTTTTACTTATATTTATTATATATACACCACTTTCCAGCTCCACGAGACTGTTCAAAAGAAACACATCCTATTAACCTACACAGATGCTTCTATGTATTTGTAGGACGAGTCTATCCTATGTTCAGTGGCTCAGGAAATAAATGCTGATAAAGACAAAGGTGAGGCTAAGTGTGAATCATCTGTCTATGAAACACAACTCAATGAGTACTTTGAAAAACTGTCATGTGAAATAAAATCACCAAAAGTCCCTGAAAATGCAGACGACATCTGACTCCAGATGACGGGCTGTTATGTGGATGGGGTCACTCAGGTCCATCTGGAATCTCTAGGGATGAGGCACACCTTGTAAACATGTCCCCTACTTCAGCAGACAGAGAGGACGTCTGAGTCACAAAGTCAAGGCGTTTTTCTGAAATGAGATTCTACCCAGTAGACATAAGCCGACCCCAGACAAGCTAAGCTGTGCTGTAAGTAAGAGGTATGGTATCTACTGAATGCTTCTAACAAACACACATTCTACTAGCTTCAGCTTCCCAGAGGTGAAGGAAGTCAGGTAACGATGCCAGTGGTGCCTGGCTGTGCTGTCTGACATGACAGCCCTCAGAGAGGATTTGCTGGTACCTCTTACCTTAAAGGACTGCACAAAGGTCCACAGCAAAATGCGTATGGTATAGCCCTGACGCAGGAGCTTGATGAGGCGGGCAGCTCGGAAGAGCTTCAGAAAACTCATATTGAAGCCACTGGTGTTCACCAGCTGGTGGATCAAAAGGAAACATATAATTAGGAACATTACAGTCATTTAGAAAAACCTAAGCACGAGTATTTGTGTATTTATCCCTCATTCTGATAAATGGGACACAGTCTCTGTCTTTGTTAACCCCAATTCCAGCCGATGGGCTGGCCAGTGAGGCCCATCTCCTAAGCCTTCCCGTGCCTGCTCTCTATCCCCAGGTGGAAGGGTAAAGGAGGTACCTGAGAAGGGTACCCTGCACACAAAACCAGGCTCTCTAGTCTTCTACTGAGAGAAAGGGCCCGAAGTCTGCACTTAGATGCCAAAAAAAGCAGATCTAGGAATCCGTCTAGCACACGTTGGCCCCTAATATTCAAAGAGAGTTACCACAAGCTTTCCAAGTCGTCTTCAGAAGGAACAAATTTACGGAAGCAAATCAGGTCTACAAACTTTAAGGGCAAAGGTACTGTGCCTCCTCTGAGAATGTAGGGGAATTTATACACAGCAGCTCTCTTCTGACACCATCTAGTCCACCTACCCTATTAGATACTTGCTACCCAAGTCATGCAAATCAACAAAGCCTTCAGGAGGGCCAGTGCCACTCCCAAGTTTGCATTCCCTGGCTAAAACTGAGCAGCGAGGGAGTACGTTCCCAACACTTAGTGGGTACCCATGTGCTGTGGTAGGTTACAAACGGGCTGAATGTACAGAGGAGTTTTTAAAATGCTACTCCAGGACCAAGCTTATAGACATGGATGTATAAGCCATTCACCTTGCTGTCTGTCAGGATAATTTCTGTGATACTGCCAATCACGGTGATGAAGTCAAAGATATTCCAGGTGTCTCGGAAATAGTTCTGCCGAATTGAATTCAGTCACAGGAACATCAGAAAAGGGAAAGAAGAAAAAGGACAAATGACAGCTTTCATTATATAACTTTGTTTGTCACTTGGAAATAAAACTTGTCAATTCATGCGTAAGTTCACTCTTCCTTTGGCTTCGGTTTCCCATGTCTAACCAGAGATACCATTTCTCCTTTACTAATCTGGGAATTTCTCATTTGGAAAGCAGTTCCACCACTATTTGAAGACTTTATTTTTGAAACTATCACCAAAAGCTCATATGTAAAAAAAAAAAAAAAAAAAAAAAAAAAAAAAAAAAAAAAAAAAAAAAAAAAAAAAAAAAAAGTTTTCTTTCAATTTTTATTTTTAACAAATATTTATGTATTTATTTAAAAATCTCTTTATGGAGGCACGATTGACAAAAAGCTATCCATATGTAATGTATATATCTTGAGTTTGGGATACATTTGTACCTGTGAAACCACTGCCGTGGTCATACAGCTATAACTTTTAAACTATTTATATTGTATCAAGCGCCCTATAAAATACAGTCTGACTTACGACTATCAACAAAGGTGACCCAAGTCGTAAGTGACTAAAGGTTATAGATATGCTGAAAATCTCCTTCTAACTCCATTGAGCCTTTTCAAACCAACTACTGATTGGTAACAGGATGAACAGACTTCATCTTTCCCCTCTTTCTCTGCTGTTACAGCTTCCGAAGAGATGTAGCTAAGTACAAGGAAGCAGTAATAAAATGAGTGGGCTGAAGGTGACATAAAGAGCCTGCAAAATCCACCAACCAGATAACACTCCATTTCACAGAAGAGGGAAGACTATGCATCCATCTCCTAGGCTCAGATGAATGCAGACCTTAGACTATTCTCCTTTAAAAACAAACATACAAACAAACAGGACACGCGCATCTCAAAAAAATTCACTTGCTTGCCCCTGGGACATTTAAGGGCGGTCTGTAACACAGAAAACAGACATTAAAATCAACAGACTGCAGAAATCCAGAGAAGACAAAGAAAGTACAAGGAGGAGAAAATTTCAAACATCTGTAAGTGAGACCTTCAGCAAGACCACAGGACAATGGATTATTTTATTCTATCCTTGGAATAAAAAACAAGAGACTCTCAGAGCAGTGCAGAAGGATACCCCTTCCCAGCCTCAAAACTAGCATCACTGAATTACTATGACATGAGCCAGACGTTAGACCAGGCCTTTGGCCTTCTTTCAACTTATTTATTCATCTCATGGACCCTAGAGGCAGGGAGTGACAAATACCCACGTTTGTAGAGTCCTGAATGGAAGAGTTGGCAAGAGGAGTGAGGGGAAAATATCCAATAAAGACAGGCAAGGAGTGTGAGGAGAGAGGAGTTACATTTAATGAGCATCCACTGAGAACCTTATGAATGTCATGTAATTGGATACCTACAACAAAGAAGCTAAGGCCATACGGTGGCTACCGTTATCCTTATTGTATGCATAAGAAAAGGAGGCTGAGAGAGGGCTTATTCCAAAGCCACATGTACCTAGGGGGCATGTGAAGAAACTGAAGCACACAGTTTCATAAACTCACTTTCTTTTTAAAAAAAAATTTTTTTTTAATTGCATTTTAGGTTTTGGAATACATGTGAAGAACATGCAAGATTGTTGCATAGGTACACACATGGCAGTGTGGTTTGCTGCCTTCCTTCCCCTCACCTGTATCTGTCATTTCTCCCCATGCTATCTCTCCCCACCTCCTCACCCCCCCGTCCCTCCTCCATTTCCATAAACTCACTTTCCGTTAGAATATTTAGTCTTATCAGTGGTAGAGCTAAACTAAGTCTCCGAACCCCTCAATTCTCAGGGCTCTCCTATTGTCCAACCTGGGGTGAACTTCCTAATTCTTGGTTTTAATTCTTCCTAAATCTTGGCGCATGGATCTAGGTCTGAGAACCAGAAGCCCTGGATTCCAGTTAAGGATTCTTTACGATACAGAAGAGCATGCTGCGGTATAGACTAGCACACTGTGGTATACGGTACAGAACAGTTTAGTGTAATGTAGACTAGTAGATTACTGTAAGCTTTGAAGTCAGAAGAGGGTCTGAATCCTGGCTTGCCTCTTACTAACCTTGGCCAAAGTATTCAATCTTTCTGAGCTCCAGCACATTCATAAACGAAAACAAGAATGCTCATCTACAATATGTAAAGCATTTGGTCCTGAATCGGCAACCAATGTCTGTTACATCCTTCCCTCTTTTTCTTTTTCCCTTCCCTTTTTATTCCCATCCTGCCTTGCAGTTCTGTTGCCTTTCATTGTGTAATCTTTATGAATATATACAATTTTTCTGAATTTCAATTTCCTCATTTAAAATAACAACAATGGCAATTATGACAGTGACGTCTGCCTTGGCTATTTCAGAGTCATTGAGAAGGTGCAATGAAATGGTGTATATTAGGATAGGCTGAAAGCTTAGGGTGCCTTAACAATGTAAAGACTTACCGTAATTAGTGGTACCTTTTATAGTGTGAAAATGCCTCTAGACCATGAATGAAAACATGGGCGTAGGGTGGGAAGGAGGCAGGCTTCGAGGGCTGAATTTAGTTAAGGCTGTGAGTATATATTCAGCACTCACCATAATTAGACATATAATGGGACTTAAGTCACAGACAATGTCGACACCACATACAAGTAATCAACACGCATAGAAAAACTTTTCCCGGTTGTGGTGCTGGCTTCTCCCTCTCTCTCAGCTCTCCCTGTCAGGGCTAGACTGTCTTATAAAAGCATCTTTGTTGGTGGTAGTTTCTTCTACTTTTTTATTTCCCCAAGTCTCAAAACACTCAAAAGAGAGTCAGGCAAACACAATGCGGCCACCTGCAATTGGTTCCCTTAAACTCTCCGCCCAAAATGATCAAATTAATCATTTTTCCAAGAACCACTGGGAGGCCAAAAGCAGCCCCCACAATCAACACTCACAATTATCCAACTCAGCCCAGAGTCCCTGTTAAAGCTGCTACCAGACAAACACTTATTCAGATAACGAGCAAAGTTCTCACCTTGCAGGGAAAGCCGTATACACACATAATTAGAAATGGTAGCTCACGCCCTAAAAGTGCAAAACAGCAGTCACGTGGGCTAGCATCCCACTGAACTCGCTGCACACACTGAAGCAAGGTGCGGGGAGGGTGGCAGAGGGGATTTTCTTGTTTATAGGACACTGAAGCAAAGGGCTAGGTTTTCTTGACACTCTTGAGAACACATGCAAGAATTTTCCAAACAATTGTAATTATTAATAGTAGTTGAGGAGAAGGAAAAAAAGGCCTCACGCCAGAAAAATTCATCATCCCCAAATCCCCTCAAACTTAATTCCAGGATCCTTCCCCTTGCACTCCACAAACACACACACACACACACACACACACTTAAAGGTCATTAGTCTTTATAGGCATAAGTAATAATTATTGTGGCACACATCTTTGTTTTCTAGCCTATGCACACACAAAGGTAAAGACTGCATCTTTAACACCTTACATCTATCTTCCAGATCTCTGTGCCTCATACCTGGGCCTTAAACAGTGCTCAGAAAAAATGTTTGTTTAATGGCTGAATAATTACTTTTCCCATCTTCTCTCTCTAATTCTTAGTCACGTTAAGAAATGCAGTCCTTCCTTACAATGCTGGTCCAAGAATCTCTTACAGTCCCTCTGGCAGAAATTACTCTTCATGTTAAAATGGCAGAAGGACTAATAGGTAAAATGCATTATTTGCTATGTTTGAGGCTAAGAGGGATAGGTACTTTCCCATTTGTGTTATAAAACAACTTTTTACTGGTAAATAAGTTTATTAGTCCAAGCTTTGGCTGGCTCCTTCATCTACACATAAATTGCAGTTCTGGTAAAATCCAGTGATGGCCACCTCTGGACTGCTGACAGAAATTTCACAGCATGAGCGCTAATGGCTCCATGGGCATGAACCTGGGACGTGGCTTCCTTTGCCCTTTCTCCCAACTTGCTCACACATCTTGTCTCTACGGTAGTGTACTGAGCAGACAAAATGAGCCCCCGTCTAGATGGGAGATTTCTGGAATAGCAGTAACCACCTCCCTTTCAACAAAGGCTGGGAAGGCACCCAACAGAAAGAGCAAGCCTCGTGCTGGGAAGGATTCAGCGACGTACCAAAAAGCCAAAAGCGATGACCTTCAGGACGCATTCCAGGGAAAACACCATGGTGAAGGCAATATTCAGGTACTTCAGGGCCAACTCGTAGGTACAGGGAGCAGAGTAATACTGCCAGGAAGAGAAAAGAAGAGAGGAAGAATCACAGCCTTAAGGTAAGAGGGGGAATGCATGTCACCGAGGCTGGCCATCTCTCATTCCTGCCCTGTGGGACACTCTGGTGTGTGGTGCAGGAAGAGAGATGGATCTCGAGGCTGGAGAGGAGAACTACATATTCTATGCAACACAGCAAAGGGAACACAGGCCCACGCCCCACCTAGAGGACCAAACAGCCAGTCTTCCTAGAGATGACGGTGGGCAGGGAAGAAATCTTTTCCTTTTTTTTTTTTTTTTTTTGAGACGGAGTCTTGCTCTCGTCACCCAGGCAGGCGTGCAGTGGTGTGATCTCAGCTCACTGCAACCTCTGCCTCCCAGGTTCAAGCAATTCTCCTACTTCAGCCTCCCGAGTAGCTGGGATGACAGATGCATGCCACCACCCCAGGCTAATTTTTGTATTTTTAGTAGAGACGGGGTTTCACCATGTTGGTCAGGCTGGTCTCAGACTCCTGACCTCGTGACCCGCCTGCCTCAGCCTCCCAAAGTGCTGGGATTACAAGCGTGAGCCACCGCACCTGGCTGTAGCATTTTCTAGAGTGATTTACTGGAGTTAGTCATTTAGTATTAAATAGGATGAGCCTCTCCGAATACTCCAAGGCTCCTTTAGACCCCAGGATGGTGATCTCTGTCTCCTGATGTTTCCGCCCTTGTCTGAAGCTGCCTCCCATTCCCATCCCACGTCTCGCAAACCCCTGGATGGCTACAACAGGCTTCACTGCATTTTGCTCAATGGACCCCCAGTTCCCTAGAGATTGGGCTGTTGAACACAATAAAATCACAAAAAGACTTCACGATGGAAAAGTAGGTAAAGCAGTGACAGGCTGGGATGTCGGGGTGTCTTTCCAGTTGCCCTAAGAGGGAAATGTCGCTGGGGCTCAGCTGGCTCTCGTGCCTCTCCTCTCACCTTCATCATCAGCACGACGGTGTTCAAAGCGATCATGGCCATAATGGTGTACTCGAAGGACGGAGACACCACGAAGTGCCACACGCGGTACTGGAAGGTGTGCCTGTTCTGCGGCATGTAGCGGGTGAGAGGTTTGGCACTGATGGCGAAGTCGATGCACGCTCTCTGCAAGAAAGCCACGGGTATTAGTGCCAGTTTAACTCCCTCAGCCCTTGCACCATGGCAGGCCGTGTTTCATGCTCAGAAGTGGAGGGCGGTCAGTGAGAAAAAGGGCAGGGCTGGGCAAGTAAAGATGGCAACTGGGGTCACCTGGCCAAAACTATGGACATGGCATCGCCTTAAAGAAGTACACAGAACTGGAGGTGTTTCACATGGAGTAAAGACTTCATGGTTATAGTCCTTTACACAGCATGCGGCTGAGCTACTTCGGCAGGAAGCCTTCCTTGATGCACTAGGTCAGAAGTAAAGATCTACCTACCTAGGTATTTCTATAGCACTTAAAGTCATAGTTCTCTTACAGTCCCTAACAGTTTCTAGTTCAGTTCTATCATTAAAAAAAAAAAAAAAGTTTAAAAAGCTCTGAAACCTTACCACGTGCCAGAACTATGCTTGTTGCTAGAAAAGTTGCGATAAGACACATTCCCTGCCCTTACAACGAAGACATACCAAGGAAGGGCACAGTCGGATAAGCAGATATTTGACAGTATTATTGTGGCACACTTCTCTGTTTTCTAGACTATGCACACACAAAGGTAAAGACTGCCCCTTAGACATCTTACATATCTTCCAGATACCTGTGCCTCCTACCTGGGCCTTAAACAGTGCTCGGAGAAATGTTTATTTAATGGCTGAATAATTACTTGTCCCCTCTTCTCTCTATAATTCTTAAGTTAAGAAAATGCAGTCCTCCTTCCTTAGATTGCTGGTCCAGGAATCCTTCCTGGAGCCCCTGCAGCCCCCCACTTTAGACCAATGGCTGTTACCTCGTTCTTCTCCAGGCTGCACTCCTCCATCATCTTATCCCCTTGCTCCTGGAAGGTGATGATGATGAGAGCCACAAAGATATTGACAAAGAAGAAAGGGAAGACCACAAAGTAGACCACATAAAAGATCGACATCTCCATGCGGTTGCTGCGGCTTGGGCCTCGGTCTTCCTCTGTCACATCTACGGAGTGCTGCAGAACTCTGTGGGGACAGAATGAGGGGGCACAAATGGTGATGACGGTCTTGGCTTTGTTAGGAAATGTGCCACTGACTATAATTTTTCATCTGACTTCGTTGACTCTGCAGATCCTCCATTAACTTTTTTGAGTCCAAACCCCAAGTTGTCATATCCTGCTGTCAACAATCTGCTTCTCTTTCTAGCCCCTGTGCCATCATGCACTCAACTCCTAAGCAACAGAGGGACATCATTTTATAGTTTAGGTTGTCACGTTCAATACCAAAGAGACTCCTAGATTTCCATTTGACATTTGCTGCCAACGAGAACATGCTGCCGCCAGAAAGTCGTGTCTTAATCCTTGCTAAGTCTCTGAAAAATTAGCTTTCCGCTGTGGGCAGCGTAAGACCTGTATTCTGTGGTCTTCGAGATGACAGGAGGTATCTTTGGGTTTTGCCAACTCATTCTTAACCCTCAGTCCTCAGGCTCTCAAGTGTGGGGACTACCGGGAGGGTGAATCCATGTGTAACAGCTCTCAGGGACTCTCCGTATGGGTAGAGGGCTGTTCAAAACTCATTTGTTCCACAGAAGTCAGATGGCTCCACTCAACTCCTCAATTATCGGCTACAACATTAAGAGTTTCAAATACTTCCCGGATGTTGTCATCCCCCCTTCTCCATTTGTGCCTGGAGAATTTTCATCCTTCCTCTTTTCTGCCTGTCTCACCTGCTTAAAACCCCTTACTTTCCCTGATACAATAACCAAGGGTGAGCCTTGTTCATCTTGAGTCAGCTTCTCAAGGCAACCACGGGGTCCTATCACAGTCACAAAGGAGCACACAAACGATCACTCACTGAGGCCATCCTTCCCCTGTGGAGACGGTGAAGAGGGTCAGCAGGGCCCAGATAATGTTGTCATAGTGGAATTCATGGCGCTTCCATTCCCGGCCCTTCACCTCCATCTTATTTTTTTCGTGATCTACATAGTTGCCTCTAAAACCAGAGCAGAAATGAAAGAGGGTCTTCTCACTATAGCTCATGGAAGAGTCAGCACATTCTACAGACTGCAATAATTTAGGGTAATAATGATCACCATACATGTGTAAGGCAAAAAGAGTTTTATTAAAGGCAGGTATTTTTGCCATGGAGCCAAAACAGGATCTGATGCCCAAGAGATATGGGATTAAATCCTAACCTTTTCACCAGTGGCTTTGAAACCTGGAGGAACTTGCTTAAACATTCTGAGTTTTAGCTTCCACTCGTGTAATATGCAAATAAAACTCACTTCAACAGCTCACTATAGGGGTTTAAAATGAAAACCAGATGTACAATGTCATGGTATGAGACATTTTACACTCAGGTTTTCATGTCTGACACAAAAGAGGTGCTCCATAAAAAGTTTATTGATTTCCTGCCTTGTCTTTTTGCTAAAAGAAGAGTGGGGATGGGAAGGAAGGAGGGTGGACCTGTGGGGGCGGAGCTGGCTCATCAGGACATGCTTCAGCAAAAGCAAGCCGGATGTGCTGGCGGCACTCACATGCACTCCTTCTCTGTGTCCTTGGAACTGTCGGTGCAATAAAAGAACTTTCCCTTGAAGAGCTGAACCGCAATGACAGCAAAGATGAACATGAAGAGCTTGTAGACAATGAGGATGTTGAAGACATTCTTCAAGGAGGTCACCACGCAGTCGAAGACGGCCTGTGGACAGAGCAAAGAGCCCTCCTGCGTGAACCCCGAGACCGTCTCCACACTTGCCTAGAGCTGGGCTGGCCACACCACCAGCACCCAGCCCCACTAAGAAGGTGTCCCAGGAGAGAGTTCCCTGCTAACAGGTGGAGGGATGCTCATGAGATTAAGGGCTGGCTTCTAAGCTGGTTATGACTGCAAGGTCCTCCCACCTGGGATGGGAGCACATGCTCTGAATCTGAACGCAGGCCCAAAGCAGCAGAAACCAGATGCTATCCAGCAAGGAATGAGGCCCTCTGTGAGATCCTGGGACGGGTACACCGCTTCGTGTGAAGCACGGAAGTGCACGGCTGAGAAGGATCTTTGCGATCATTTCGCCCAATTTAGTCTTTAAAAAGCTTGTGCTTTATTTGGTGACATTCTTGGAGTTGATTTATATACTGATTATGTGTTTTCTCCTTACCTTTCTAAAAGGATCGGTAATGATAATACACTGTCATCTTTGTTCATGTCACTAATATGCAAGTTTACACATTTATGATTATATTCAGAACTTCATGTAAATGTTCTCTAGTGAAGGTGCTGCATTTGGAATGAAGACCAACAGGAGTAATACGGGAAAGACCCACATACACCTTCCCTTAGACACAGGGAGGCTGGGCAGATAGAGCCGAAGGCCACAGACCTGGCCGGGCGCGGTGGCTCACGCCTGTAATCCCAGCACTTTGGGAGGCCGAGGCAGGTGGATCACGAGGTCGAGAAATCGAGACCATCCTGGTCAACACGGTGAAACCCCGTCTCTACTAAAAATACAAAAAATTAGCTGGGCATGGTGGCACGTGCCTGTAATCCCAGCTACTCAGGAGGCTGAGGCAGGAGAATTGCCTGAACCCAGGAGGCGGAGGTTGCGGTGAGCCGAGATCGCGCCATTGCACTCCAGCCTGGGAAACAAGAGCGAAACTCCGTCTCAAAAAAAAAAAAAAAAAAAAAAAAAAAAAAGCCACAGACCTCCAGAGACCTCTCTACTCCAGGCCCTAAGCTTTGAGGAGTTTCATGGGAACTCAACACCTTGTGGGCCATTTTTAGGTTATTTCTAGGTTTTAGGTTTAGCTCACAGGACAGTCTAGCCCCACGGTGGTACCACGTTTCTGCAGCTGGTTCTCTGCAGCGCTGGGTGAAGCACTGCTGGTTTCATTAGTTCAACACTGTGGGGAATGTGAGTGACATGCAGCCCTGCGGAGTCATCAGAGCCACCTACGTCTCCCTCAGCTTATGGAGCTGCAGAGCGAGGAACTAGCCTTCATAATTTAACCGAATTAAGTAAGGTTGCAGGGTGCTTTCTCTAGCCTATTAACTCATCTCATCAAGCTTGTCTGCGCTCTCCCTGAGGCCCACTGAACCCTCCTCTGCAGGAGCACTGACAATACTGATCAGCGTCAGGGCCCCAGGAAGCCTGGCCACACTCTGTGGGGTGCGAGGCAGAACCCAATGAGTATTTATGGGCGGGTGCCAAACTGGGCCGTTGTCAGGCAGGAAGGTGGTAAGAAACAGCTGACACTGTGAGAAGGGCCTCCTCCAGCGGGGAAGGCAGGGTAGCCACGAAGGAGAGCAGTCAGCCAGGCCACTTCCTTGGGGGCATGGGTGTCTCTCTCTGGGAACCCATGCGGTGGGCCAGGGCCCTGGGCTCCGAGGTAGCCACGTTTCAGTCAGATCAGGGCCTCTCAGAAGTGACTTTTCTTCTGTTTCATAAACCTAGTTAGTGATTGGGTATGGTGGTTCACAGCTGTAATCCCAGAACTTTGGGAAGCCGAGTAGGGCAGATCACCTGAGGTCAGGAGCTTGAGATCAGCCTGACCAACATGGAGAAACCCCATCTCTACTAAAAAAAAAATAATAATAATAATAATAATAATTAGCTGGGCGTGGTGACACATGCCTGTAATCCCAGCTACTAGGGAGGCTGAGGCAGGAGAATCACTTGAACCGGGAGGCGGAGGTTGTGGTGAGCCGAGATCGCGCCATTGCACTCCAGCCTGGGCAACAAGAGCAAAACTCTGTCTCAAAAACAAACAAAAAACCCTAGTTAGTTTTGCCCCCTTTCTGCAGAGTCAGATGGCTGAAAGGGGAAGCAGTGCTATGAGGCCTGAAGGGGGTTGGGGCTGGGGGTGGGCAAAGAGTATCCGAGGTGATGAGAATCCAGTAGGAAGTGGGAACTGGGAAGCAAGGGAGAGTCCAGTGCACAAGAGCCTCCCCCAGCTGTGTCCTCTGTGGCAGGCTTGGGAGAGCAGCGCCAGGCATTCCAGAGGAACTGTTGAGTTTTCTAACAGGGACCACTCACGTCAGTTCATTTCATCCACACCACGGATGTGTGAGGTAAGAAGTGTCCCCATTTCCCATGTGAAAGAAAGTCAGAGAATAAGTAATTTGCCCTGGGTCATACAGCTCCTAAGTCCCAGAGCTGAGCTTGGCACTTAAGTGGGTTCCTTCTAATGTTGACAGGGGTTCTCAAACTACACTTATATGCTAAGAATCACCTGGGAAGCCGGTTTAGGAGGCACATTCCAAGCCCCTCCTACAGGGAGTCTGGCTCTGTTGTGCTTCGGTGGCCAGCAAACTGGATTTTAAGAAGTGCCCAGGTGATCCTGATGCAGGTGGCCTATGGCACACACCTTGAGCAGGGCTGCATGATTCCACGTGATGTGCAGTGAGGGAATTGCATCTGCTTGCTGGGAAGTATTCTGGTGTAACCCCTGAAGATGGGGCTTGGCTGGCTGTGTGGCCTGAGCAGCAGAAAGACTTCGTGGCTGGAAACCAGAAGCTCTGGTCCTCTCCCTGGCAGTGGCTCGCTTTCATTCACAGGAATTGAGGGAGAAAGAACGTTCCTCCCACGGAGCCTCAGCTTCCATTAACAGCAAGGTATGTGGGGTAGGGGAGGCAGGTTCAACAGGCTAGCAGACTTGTGTGATAAGGCACGGGAAGCCTTCCTGAGAGGCAGGAAGGCTTGTGGAAGGTGGGGCCCCAGGGGAGGAGAGCAGGGAGAGTATTTAGACGAGGAGAAATCTGGGTAAGACTCCTAGTAAATAACTTAATTCATGTCAGCTGACTTCCCCATTTCTTCTCTGCCTCTGCTAAAAATGGACTGCATGACCTCGGACAAGTTACTGACCTATCTTTGCCTAAAAATTACGAAAGGAAGGGCTGGAAGAGCCTCTTACTCCAGAGTTATGAGAAGAGAAAATGTCCCTGGATACTTGGCCTTAAATAATATGCAGACCACAACACACACAGGGGGCTCCTGTTGCTTCCATTCTGGTGTTCTGGGTCTGCACTGGGGACACAGGAGGCCCCAGGACAAAGCCACACAGGGTTCCCTCTTGGATGACATGTCACATGGGAGAGTAGATACCACCTAGGTCTGGACTAAAGAGGCAAAGCTTTCTTACAGATTTCTTGGGATGTTGGTAATTTTCCTTTGAAACTAAGACCTTTAGCTCAGGCAGATTCTCACTTCAGTATCCATGTGAGAAAAGGGAATATTCCCAGAACGAATTCTCCAAAAGCAGGCCAGCCATGGCTAAAGAGAAATGACCGGAGAAGGGGATGTGATGGGAATGAACTCTGTAAACACTACCTTGAGCTTGGGCAAGCGCTTGATGGTTTTCAGTGGCCTTAGAACCCGGAGCACCCGCAGAGACTTGATGGTCTTGATGTCCCGTCCTTTGTTGGTTCTGCAGGGGAGAGCCCCCAGGGAATCATATGGAATGGCGGGGAGGGAGAAATAAAAGTGACATTCAAACTGTGGCATTAGTAACAACAGGCTAAAAGGGAAGAGCTATATGGGAGAGATGTAGGCAAGAAGCCAGAAACTGAGTCAGATTTGACTCCAGGGACATCCTACAAAAAATGCTTCAGGAATATTCTCAAATCACTTCTCAGTGTGCACGCATAAACACACATCCACATGCATAAACACCCACACATGCACATACCCACTCTATATACACACACGGAGGAATATACAGGCACACAGAGGCCTCCATGCGCATATGTTAACCGACACTTCCTTCCCTAACCGCCAGTCTAATGCTGCGGATTACCACACCCGCACAATGAAAATGGAAGATGCATCGGTCAACTGGGAAACGCGAGCAGCAGCCCACCTCAGATCCCCACTGTGCCTAATCCAGTGCTTGCCCAATGATAGGTTCTCAAGTGATATTTGCTGAATTGATGAACCCACAGTTGAGAGCAAGTCTCATCAGGGCACGTGACTTAATGTAGGTTTGTCACCACTGCACAGCTCATTAGTGCAGGAGCGAGCAAGCTGAGGCAGGGTGGTGGCAGACATGACACCCTTGCTGGTCCACGTGTTCCAGAGAAAGCATCTTATGCAGGCTTCTAGCCAGGATCTTGGCTTACACCCCAGCACCTCTGTGTGGCTGGCTCTTCCTGCAGACCCTTCCATTGCAGACAGTATGCACGTAGCACAGTCTGCAGAGACTCACTTGGCTGGAGGAGGCCCAACTGCAGGCCCAGCTACCTTTATCCCAGCCCTACAGCTAAGGACCCTCCCTACTCAGCCACTTAGAAAGGTTTACTCCTAAGAGTGAAAATATGTTTCTCTTCTTACTTTTAGGAATGAAATGAATAAACCAACTTGCATTTCTCTTTCTTACCTGTTCATCCCCTGAAATCTTTGCATTCAATTCAAGTAATTGTGATTTATAAAACACACAAAAGGTGGAAAACGAGACTGCGAACAGTGGAATCAGGCTCTCTCTCTTTCCTCATGTTAACCCAGATGACTGTTACACCAACAGTCTGAGGAAATGGAGCCCAGAACATCAGGTGGGAGCAGCCAGGGCTTCTGCCTGCTTTCCCCCTCTACCTTCCTGCCACGCCTACCGCACCCCTGGCGGGGAGATGCAATTCCCTCTATTCTTTCACAGAAAGCAAGATCAAAAGATATTTAATCAAATCGGAGGAATGCTGACTTTGCTCAGAATGTTTAAGACTCTTTTAATAATTATAGGCCACGACCTACAAGTTACTTTTATTCAATCCTAGATCTGAATAGAAATAATCCAAAATCATTGCACTGACATGGTCTTTAGCATCCAGGGGCTTTGGTGTATTTTACAAATGATTTCACTGGCTTGGGCTCATCTGTCTATATATCTAAGAGAGGCAACATATGAGCCTAATACATATCCAAGCCAGTAAGAATGATGGCTTCCCAAGAAGGCTTGGCGACTCCTAATTTTGATCTCTTGGATTTAAATAAGAACCGACCACGTTTTCCCCAATGCATAAGCCCCTCCCTCCCAAACATACTTTCTCACTCCTCCAACTCATCCCTTCAAACATAATTGAACATATTTACCCCAAAGCGTTCCTGTGGAGGATCCAATCAGAGAGCAATAGAAAATCAAAAGAAACAACAACAAAAAAAATGGGGTTGGGGGAGAGAGAAGACAGTCAGAACACTTCAGGGAGAAAATAGAACCTTACAATAACAGGAAATCAGAGAAGCACCGGCCCAGGGGACCCCGCCCACAGCCTTGGCACTTAAGAGTCCACACCTTTGTGAAAGGAAGGGCCAGCACACCATTTGCTCCATGGCCACCGTCCCAACCTGCAGGGGCCCTTTGCCAGCCCAAGTGACAATGCTGCATAGACTTTCGGGTATTGTGCATTATTCCATGGGGCCTAGTTTAACATGGGGCAGGCGCTTACTTTCATTTCCTATGTAGTCTTCAGAGAAATTCTGTTTCTAGTGAATTTATAAGAAACCAGCCTGCTCTGGGCCAGAAACTCTCTCACACACTGGCATGGTTACGCTTATGAAGGGTTTCATCTGAAGAGGGACACCTGACCACTCAGAGAGGGACACACTGATGTCTCTCAGAAGCTCAGAGGAGCAACACCAGGAAACCAACGTGAAATAAGGCGGGGGAGGCATTTGTCTGTCAAGATCATGAAGCCACACAAAAGTTTGCCTTTTGATAAATTAAATGACCACCTGTCCGTTGTGAGCCTACTGTGCAACTTGAAGATGAAAAATCATTCCAGTTCTACGGGTGAGGCACTTAAAATAAGTCGGGGCATAAATATCTTCAAGATAGAAACAATGACAACTAACTTTTAAATTTTTTGAATATTTATTCTTTATTCTGGGCCAGGCTCTGTGCTAAGCAATTTTAGTGCAAACCTTTATTTAAACCTCCTAACTTTAGCACACAGGAATCACTATCCCCATTTCGCAGAGGAGATTCAGAGAGGTTGAGTGAGAGCCTGACATCAGTTGACAGAGCTGGGACATGAACCCAAGCACGTGTGACACTCAGAACCCTCATTCCTAACCACTAAAGCTCCGCGCCAGCAGGTTTTAGTTCAAGGCTCTCTCAAAAAGCCCACAGAATTTCTGAGCTGGAAGAGATCCCTGAAATCCACTCAGCTGCAAAGGAAACAGGCTGCAGGAGGAAGTGCCTTATCTAAGATCATTCACTGAGTAAGTTTAGAACCACAGGTCTACCTGCATCTCATGATTCCCTATCCTGGCCTGCTGCTAAGAAGTGCCCAGAATTCACGTTTTGGTTCTTAGTTGCAGATTGTGATGATTATTACTTTTTTTGTTTTTTGGTTTTTTTGGCCAATGTATCACAAACCTATGTTCCACTACCGTATGTCACAAGCAAAGAGTGCTGATGGCCATTTTACTCAACAAATGATCCCATATTCAAAATTGTTAATATTCACTATAAATGCCAAATAAATGGTGGTTTGGGAATTAGACTCAAGACCTTATGAACCTTAAATCCTTAATATGATAACCTCCAAATGTTCAGAGGACAGAAATATCTTCCCCAGCATCTTCTCACATGTAAGACAGGGCATGTGGTAGGTCAGCCAAACACACCTTTATTCATTCATATACCAGGCATCTGTGGAGTCCTTAATACATGTCAGGAACTTTTCTGCATACTGGATATATAGTTGTGAACAAATGAGGTTGCCAACCTTTTGAAACTTACCTAGTCTAGGAGGGAAGACAGACCTCAAGTAAACAAGCACACAAATAAAAGTAGAACTGCAAGCTGCCATTGGAAAAATGAAATCATTCCATTGAAAAATTTACCAGAATAACTCCATAGGTTTCCCTTTCCCCAGGCTACATTTGTCTTAAGGAAGAACTAAGGGATAATCTGTCCCATCTGTAAGACGTGGGAATAGGGTAGGAGAACGATATAAGAGCAGGTGATCTAGGAACACCCCACCCAGGCTTCTGCCTTCTGCTTAGCTCAAGTCCTCATCTCAGAGACCTTTCTATCCTGCAGCATCTGAAAAGGTTCTCAGAGGTCATGCTCATAGACATGCATCTTCTGCACGAGGACACAATATTTTCTGCTCCTCCCACACACCCGTATAAAGGATATAATTTGCTCTCTTCAATTAATTTCCCCCCAGAATCCTAGTAAAATATCACGGTACAATTCATTGTAGAGTATTATGCCACATACACTGTATAATCCATGGCATAATACAAAGTCACCATTGTCCCTTGTTTTGGAAAACAGGCTTTCTTAATGATACACTCTAATCTTAACAGCTGAGTGTGGCTGCCAAACCACTGGGGGGCTATTTGTCCCATCCTAACTCCCACAGATCTGAGCCAGGGATAGCAATCAGACACAGGCCAAAAGTAAAATAAAAAATTAGTCATTGCTCTACACATCTTTCATCAGGTCTCTTACTGCAGAGGCGCCACTGAAAAGCTATGAATTTGAATAGCTGCAGAAAAATACGCTTTCCTCCTCAGTTTTGTTAACATGGGCAAGATTTGTTAACTGACTTAAAAATTGCCATTTGAAATGAAAAGAGTACTGAATAACAAAGCCCCAGAGTCAAGAAAAGCCTCAAAATATAGTCACCATTAATTACAATATAATTTGCACTAGGCCAAAGTACTGCTCCTAAATCCACACACACAAGAGTTACTTAAGCCATTATCAAAGCCAACAAGATTGCAAGGAACATGTTTCACCAAACTACAAGGAGAAGTACCTTAACTGAGGCCCATTGTTTTGGAAATAATTCACGTGCATTTTACAAATCATTTCAATGTAATCGTTCGATAACACTTTGCTCATCTCTGCTACTAAGTTATAAACAGAGTTTTTAAAATATACTGCCTCATTTCTATCAGGTTCAAAAATTGACTCTAATGTTAAAATCTGAGGACAATTCCACATGCTAGGATGCACTGGCCCCACTTTAATGGGGATTCAGTTGGCCACCCATTTTACCACTTACTTTCTATTTATTTGGTAAGTTCCTGGCTGCTCTCCAGGAAAAATAAATGACACATTTTTCTCTCGTTTCATCAGTAAAAGATGAGAATTTTCCAGCTCAGCTGTCAAGCTGCTTTCCAGATCTTTTATGTGTAATCACTCAGCATTCAGTGTAATCTTGCTCTTCACCTTCCAGGTCCCCTCTTCTCAAACGACATGCTCTCAAGTTGATTTCTGCCAGGAACTGACTCTCCTCCCATGGGAGCAGACCACGGACATCAGGTTCTAAGGAACCCTTTTGCCCACCCCCATGAGCCAAGGAGGGAATAGCTCAGGGATCTGAAGGAATCTCTTGCCTCAGGGAATGGCCAGGCTTGCAGGAGTGAAAGGTAGAAGGAGGGGTCATGCTGTGAGGACCCTCCAAGTATCTCACTGTGTCTGGACTATTATTTGGTAGGCAATAATAACTACCATTTATTATACAATTACTAAGCACTTGGCACTATATCCGACACTAAATTCATTTTACCTTATTTAATGCACATAAGACCAAAATATTATTTTGAATCCCCATTTACAAATGAAAAAGCAGAGGTTCAAAGTTAAGGCAGCTAATACTTTTTTTTTTTTTTTTTTTTTGAGACGGAGTTTCACTCTTGTTACCCAGGCTGGGGTGCAATGGCGCGATCTCGGCTCACCGCAACCTCCGCCTCCTGGGTTCAGGCAGTTCTCCTGCCTCAGCCTCCTGAGTAGCTGGGATTACAGGCACGTGCCACCATGCCCAGCTAATTTTTTGTATTTTTAGTAGAGACGGGGTTTCACCATGTTGACCAGTATGGTCTCGATCTCTCGACCTCGTGATCCACCTGCCTCGGCCTCCCAAAGTGCTGGGATTACAGGCTTGAGCCACCGCGCCCGGCATGCAGCTAATAATTAATACTGCTAGGATTGAGATCTAAATGTGCCTGACTCTGAAACCTACGCTCTTATTTGAGATGTTACAGTGCCTTTCGAATGGGAACCACTGGAGGGTTTTAACCAAAGAAGAAAACAGGGAAAGGACCAGTATTTCCTGAGCTCAAATACTGAGCTATCATACTCCCTGTAATCAGTTTAGGGTCTATGAGGGTTCCTAGGAAAACAAGTTACAGACGAAACATCAAGATGGGTAAGTTCAGGGATGGCCTCCTCCATCTGCCCATAGGTCTTGTTATATTCACCAGGTAGAGAGAGAAGGATCTGCAGGCCGAGGAGAGATCTATGCCAAGCCACTGCTCTTAGCTTACAGGGGTTAATCACTTGGAGCTAACTAGAACATGATGTGTAGAAAGGAGCTTAGCCTAATGGAGACCACACGGAACTGCAGGTCAGAACACCAAGGCTGCTCAAGAACGGGCTTTGCTACTTACTAGTCAAATGAATCAGACTAGTCAAACCTCAGGCAATCCCTTCTCAGCTCTAAAACAGGACTGTTCAGTGACAAATAAAATAAAGAGTGTGAAAGCGCTATGAAAGTTCTGAAGAGCTGTAGGGAAGTTCCCCCTTTTGCACTGGCGGTGCCTGTCTCTCTAGGGCCTGCAGATAAGGATATGTCCATCTGCTTCTGCAAAAATACTAAATGTAGCACTGCGACCTTGTCACTGCTTAGAGGATGCCATTTGGGGTTTAGTTTTCCTCGTGGTCCATGCCTCAGCATCTCTTGGGGGGTCACCCTCGAGCCCTCAATCCACTCTTACTCTGCCACCTTTCTTGGCCGTGTGACCAGAGCACTAGCTCTATGCTAAATGTTTGGTGCACAATCCTTTCCCTCTTGCACATGGACCTCAATGAGCTCCTCAAACATACTCCCAAGGGCCTTCTGCAAGCCTCCTCCTTTGCCATACACAGCACCAGACTCCAACTGGCATGTGTTTTTGTCTAAACACTGAGAAGCAGCAGGAGACAGCAGAGCAGCTGTCTTCTAGCAGTTGTATTATTCAATCTGGTGACCAGTGGCCTTAGTTGTCTCTCTTCTTTTTTATTCTAAACATACCCAAAGACACCTCACCTGCTGATCTTTCTAAGAAGGCCTTGGAGCCGGCAGAAGTCCGGCCAATACACCTGT